CTCTGTCTTGTCAACATTCAGGAGCAGATGTTTGCCTGGGACCACTCCACAATATTTGCAATCAGTGTCCTGAGCTCCAGCTCCTGTCCATCTCTGATATTCCTTACCACTGCAGAGTCATTAGAGGGAACTTCTGCAGGTGGCAGGACCCAGAGCTGTACTGGAAATCAAAGGTGTACAGAGAGCATGGTTGGGATTTTGTGTGAACTGTTATGCAAATATTAATTTTCAATAGAGCGATATGTCAAAGCAATTGTAAAAAACTGTACAGTCTGTACTCTGCTGAGGCCCTTTTCCCTGTTTGACACATACAGTATGTGAAACCTTTTGTTGTTAGATTTTGGGTGATCACAACTTGTAGATTTTGTTATGTTTCAATTTCAATAATGAAAGTGACAGTATTAGGACCAGTGTTCTTTACCATGTCAAAACAGACCTGTAGTATTGAAAAAATAAGTCCAGACAATTGATCATGTGTGTTTGTGTAAGAGCTGTGTCAAGTGCTCTGAGAAAGAGTCTGAAAACTGTGTGAACTGATGAGAAATATTCTAGCTGATTTAATCACCTGTGGCTGTGTTCAGATACATGTTTGAATCAAATGATCAAACAAAATAAAAAATGTGCTAAAACTGTAACTTGGCACTTGATTATGTCTGGTTTCATTTGTGTTTTAGTTGTAAGTAAAGAAATAATCTTAAATCCACAGGCGATACTACATTATGATCATTATTTATCAACCACACCTCTGTTGTGTGATTTTTATTCTGACACATATTTATTTAAATGTAAATACCTCAAAGCTCAGTGGGCAATGTTTTTACCACCACCCATTTGAACATAAAACCTAAGAAAATTTGTTGTATTTCCTGCTTCATGAATAATACCTATAACATTTTATGAACTGTGAAGAACTTTGATGAAGTTACCAAACCCCTGCTCTGCACAAATGTCTGTGGTGCAGACTTGTGGAGTTTTGAAAGATCATTGATTGTTATCTGCTGTTTTCTCACACACAGCACAATGCCATCAAATTACCTTTGTCACCTGTTTCAGCCCCTGTAATTCCATAGTTAAAATTTACAGGAATACATTAGTGTATTTGAGCCTGCACATCACCACTACATTTATTTACATATTGTTTTATATAATACGTAGCTTATAATCAAAAGAGCAACACAGCCTCAATCAGGGCTGACTTTTTCCATAAAACGTTATGACCCAATTAGGACCCAATTTCTTATTAAATTTATTTTCTATGGTTAAGAATCACTGGGCTATGTGGAAAATACTGAGCCAGTGCAGAGGCATAAATAAATCTGTAACCTTATTCATAGTCTGTTCATCATGGTGATAGCTGAAAGCTTGTTTATGGCTGAACCTGCTTTGAAATGACAAACTGAATTGTTTTGTTTGCCAGTTTAGAACAGTGGCTCTCAAACTTTTCACACCAAGTACTAGTAAAGAAAGGATTTGGCTTTCTGAGTACCATCAGATCTCAACCAGGTCTATAAGTGGACTACATCATTTGTAATTCTAAACAGGAAGTTATCTAAACGAGGACAAAAAAAGTGGATAAAATGAAGTCTAAATGAGGCAAACCCACAAACTGAAGAGTCAAGTTCAAGTACCACCTGAAAGAGCTTGTGTCCCACCAGTACCATAGATTTAAAACATACAAAACCATGTTAAAATGCCTCAAGACCTTAACAGTTATTTGCCACTGTGCGTAGGTGATGTTTGATAAGCCTGTCTGTGTGTTCACTAGAGGGAGCAGGATTTCCATTACGAACCTTCCCCTGTCTGTCTTGCATTAGTCAATTATTATAGGCTTTAAAATGGACTTAGATTTAGACTTTAATTACATTTTTCTTCAGTCACTTTTACACATTTTCTAAAGCCTTTAACAAATCTGACAAATTTATTGTGCGCAGAACTATTCACTCAAGACACAAAAAAATTCAGAACATTTGAAAAAGTAAACTTTGTGAACAAAATGTAAAACACTCTTGTATAAAGTACATTTAGTGGTTAAAATCAAAACACAGTCGTCACACTTATAACCTTATGTAACCATTATCCAAACTCTGGCCAGAGAATGCTACAGCACTTTTAGACATGTGGGTCCAGTATCACACTGTTTCTGATGGTTTAAGAATGAGGGAAATGCTGTAAATGTGTGTACAATACTACACGGTCATTTAAGGAACAAAACAAAAACAAATGTATGTCTTTTAACAGTTGGTTTCTGAACTGTCAGGACCTCGAAGTCGCTAAATGAAAACCTGGTTCACACAGGTTTTTCACTACCGAAGTCTTTGATATTGTGGTTTCTAGTGCGTCTGTGTCTGTTCATATCTCTTCATATTGTGATTCTTGTATGGTCAGTTTTATACTTTGTGTATTTGCTCTATGGACTTTGGTTTGAGTGTGCAGTATTTAAGTACACAGATTTAAGCACGTGCAGAGAGAGTGTTACAGTACACAGCAGTCTGTGTTTAAATAGCTTATCATTGTGTTTAAGGTTCTGAAAAACATGTCATAAAGTTCTGAAGTCAAACTTAATGCTTGAAAATTGATATTTCTTGCAACATGAACTATGAGTATTTGCTCCTTCAGTGGCAGTATGTGCTGAAATTTTAGACTTTAGTGTCAAAGCAATAAAAAAAAAAACGTATTAACGGAGGACAAAAAGTTATTTGGATGCAGCAGGCCAAAAAAACATATATGATAAAAGGATTTATTTATAACACAGATGATTTATTCCTATGTAAAATAAGGTGTTTTTGTTTGCATGTGAAACTAAGAATTTGAGCGACATCTTGTGGACAATTAACTGTACTTTTTACAGCTTTTGTGCAAAATGAAAAGAAAAAAATGTAACCCAAATGTTTAACCCAAAACTTTATAGGCCTATTTGCATGATTACTTAAACAAAACTTCTAACTTTGTAGATTAAATGTCAGATGGACAGAGATGCAGACGTCTCTCAAACGTGTTACCTGTAATGCAGGTGCAGTGCGTTAAATGTTTTGGTTCACTTTATATTTCCGGTTTCTCCCTGTGGTTTCTACTTTGACAGAACCAGACCGGAAACAGCAAATAATCTGTGCAACTTGAATGACGGGGCGGTCTGTGACTAAAGGCATGGACTAACTTCTCAGACGCAGACACCGCTTGTAAAGGGATCTAAAGTAAATGGAAATAGTCCTTTAAGAGATTAAATTATGGATGCGCCGGTAAATGCAAGGAGAACTTTGTATATCACGTCAAATATGAGTATTTCTACAGGACTTACTTTGGAGTGACTCCCAAAAGCCAGGGCGCACGCACATTCGGAGGGAGAGAGGAGGCAGCGGGGAGGTAAGTCGATAGTCTGACTAAAATCAAATAAATATTTTTTCTGATTTTGTTTTCATTTGCTAAGAGTAAATTTAAAACTGACGGGGAATACTTATTATGAGGTGAATTTGTCGCTGCTTGTCTGTGTTTTGCTGCGTAAAACTACTTTGGCTCTCACGTTGCAAAGCTGCGGCTATCCAACAACAACAACGAGCATGAAGTTTAGCTCGCCTCACATAAATTCCACTGTAGTTACAATGTGGTATGAACTGTATCCGTGGTATTTTTATTGGTGGTTAGATAAGCAAGGATAGGGGATCTGGTTTAATCAAATGCTCCCATGGATTTACAGACATTTTAAGTAAAAATACGGGGCCTTACTTTGAGGCCCTGCTCAACAACAACACAACACATTGGGCATCAGAGGTTATGATTACACAGCTCATGGCTTTGCTTCATAAGAATACGACATAAACATATTTGTATTATTAATCATGTTTTAACAGTAATTAAATATTGTGCAAATTGTAAACTAAGGTAATTCAGAGGCTCATGTTAATTGTGTAAGCAGGCTAGGTCTAATTAAGTACCAGATTATATACTATGGCAATAGCAAGCTCTAACAGGCATGGCTTTGGAGATTACACAAGTCTCACATGTACAGTGTGGCCATAGACAATCAGTGCAAACTTGTTCGCCAAAAAGTCATGCTGTACCAACACTCGCCTGAGTGATTCTCCAACTTTTACACCAAGTACCACTGATTGACCTCCCAAGTCGGCCTACCACTAGGTCTTTACTAGGTACATAGGGCCAATTTCTCCAAAAGAGGACAAAACAAGGAAACATGTATGCTAAATTGGTTAAATGCTAGAACTGCAGAAGAATCAACACACTACCAGAAGAAAACCCTTTTTTTAGTTACCCAATCACACTCAGTTTTGTATGTATGCCGGCTTGTGAATGAGTCCCTGACTTTGTAAAGTCACGATTTTTAAAGTCAGAGTCATACACAAGTCCTCCCTTTTTGAGTCCGACTCAAGTCCAAGTCAAGCGTTTGTGTCTCAGTGCAGATTCAGAGCAATTCAAATAATACCAGAATCCAACTCAAGTCATTATCAACTAAAACTGAGTCTGAAGGTGAGTTCAACTGTGCTCATTCAGAGGATTTTCCTGCGTATTCTCATTGCTTTAAACTAACAGGAAAACCAATGTGTAACATATGAGTCAGTTGTTAAGTCTGAGTAAGTCCTTGGTCCACAAGTCTATGCCCTCAAGTTTGCCAAAGCCCAAATATGAATCCAGAAGTCACCGCCCTCACAAATGGACAAGTCCAAGTCAAGTTCCACATCATCAGTGATTATATTGAGTTAAGTCAGTATTAACCACAGAAGTGATTAAAACAAGTCCGGGATCTCTGCTGTCTAATTATCTTCTCCAAGATGATCGCATAATACTGTATGTCTGTGTTTATATTACGGTTTCGCCTGTACACTGGACATTGATTCGCTAACCTGCAAAAACAACCATTTATTTAAAGTAAATGTTCATAAGTAAAAAGACAGACTAAATTGTCCAGTCATTCCCTGCATTCCAGCTGACTCACTCAATACATGTAGATTTCTATCTTATAATCTTAATCAAATATTACCCCAATATTCCCCATTGACTGGCTAATCAACCCAGTGACTAAAAGACTACCACCGTATATGGTATCGGTCTTGTTGCACTTGTAGGTGAAGATAGCGACACCTTTCACAATCAGCTGTCTATTATTGTTATTGATTACTTATCACATTGACCTACTGGAATGTAAAGGATATGACCCTTTGACTGATCCTTTGAGTCAACCCACTTTATTTGTCTGAGCTTTGAACGGGATTGTTGTGGTAGGATTAGAAAAACCTCCAGGACAACAAGGAGAAACAACTTTAAAATTTTCATGACTTTGTCTGCTCTTTCTTTGATCATGCTTTATCTTTCTTGCTCAGTAACTAATCATTTGAGCAGTCGTCTACAATGTCCACAGACAGTAGGATGTCCCTCCAGGGCTTCCGTACTGTGCTGGAAATGTAGTTGCGAGGTGTGGAAGTCTTGTCTGCATGGTGCTAATCCTGGACATGGCGCTCTGCAGTGTGGGTGCTGCTGGGGCACATTGGCGTTGGTATGGAACAGAAAGACCAAAAAGTTTCAAAGACAGGATAAAGTTTTATTAATAGCTCAACCTTATCTTTGATTTGTAGGGCTCTTAAAGGGTTCTTAAAGGCAGGAGTTGTTCTTCAGTGTTTCCGAGTGTCTTTGTCACACAGCAGTAGTCAGTGGTATGCGGGGGCTAACCAGTGGTGGATGTTTGAGTGTTGAGTCACTCTCTCCTCTGCTGCTACTGTGTTTCTGAACCATTCTCCCCTGTACGTAATAGAAATCAGGTTTTATTTATATTCTGCGCTGTATCAGAGTCGGTCTTTACCTTGCCTCCTCCCAGTTAAACGCTCTTAAACATGACTAAGATCTCCAAACGTTCAAATTGGCTAGGGAATCTGCCATGCCTGTTGGACTGGAAAATGCAGTGGATAAAGTTGCGTATTCTTGTCCTACAGGCAAATAAATGTAATGGTGGAGGCTGGTTCTCTCATGGGTTAGATCACAGTCAAGTACCTGTGGGTATGGGACTTGTCATGGTGCCAGCAAAATGTTAGTGTCTCATATGAACACAAGGATATTACTTTTATTGGTGACAGATGAGACTGAAAATTTGTGGGTTGAGTTTCAGAAATTGAAATTTGACACTAACACATGGTAAATGTTATTTATTTTAAATTTCACTCCCATAGCTATTGCATCTTTGCCACACTATTCAAAAACCTGTCAAGAAAGTATATTCTAGTCCTTAAAATAATGTATTTGCATTCAACAGTTTAACTTAACAACATGAGAACCAGTAAAAACCACAATGTAAAACACAGAATTGACAACAGTTTGTCAATATATATATTTTAGAAACCCAAATTATATAATAAAGGATATCATATTCTATTGTCATTATACTAAGTAACAGTTCAGAGGGAACTAGGGAAAAGACTCAAATTTCAGTGCCACAATGCTGTATGCACAAATATACACCCTTTTCATTGCAATCTTAGTAAATGGGGGTCAATCTTATGCTTCTGATATAGATTGATACCAATCTAAACTATGCAGTCCTTTCCTTTTTATGCCAGTTTTTCAGTATTGATAAATCTGAGTCTCATTGCTAGTTTCAGTTTCAATAAATATTTGGATATTGATACTTTGACAACTCTAGTTCCCATACTGGCCTTCCTTGGCTTTCTTTATTTTCTGCATCTTGCATTAGGTGGCCTTGATGCTGCTCTGTGTGGATGTACAGACTTGCAGTTTCAGGAGAGTGAGTTTTTTTTGTGGAAAGACCATTCTGCTCTGAGAGAGAAACTTTTCCAACCTAAACAATATGAGTTGAGCTGATCAGCCTGCAGGCCTGAAGCACCTGAGCACTGGGCTAGCTTCAGTGCTGTGTTGTGATAAGGTAATATCCTGCTGTCACCCTCATGTGCACCCAGTGGAAGTGATGGGTGCTGCTGCTCTATGGGCATCTTCTCCTCTGCGCTCCTGTTTCGGAGCCTTTCGTTCGAAGTCTCATTCCTCCCATACCAGACATAACTTCTGGCCAGCTGAGTTAGTCCCTCCAGCCTTTCGCTAGACTTCTCTGCAAAAGAACAGCCTGTGTCAGCATTATGTTGTATAACACATAATTAGAACAAGTTGTGGAAACATGCCCCCTGTCTACCCATCCAGAGCGGAGAAAATGGGCTTTATAACTTCTATGGATGTGCGTGGCAACTCAGACTGTATTGCATAACCAGTTCTAAATAGGCCTGTGCAATATATTGATTCTAGTAATATCACAATATTTAAAAAAAAAATTTATACCACTTTCACAGTTATCTTAAAACAGGAAAATCACTGTAAATCATTTGAAGTGAATATAAATGTATAAAAAATCACCAATGTCTCTCACTCACTACTGCACTCTTTATGGTTTAGTTGGCTGGACATTGTAAACCAATCCCAGAAAACTGAATTGGTCAATATTAATTGACAAGCAATACTGGGGAAACTTCTGGGGTACCTTAATAATCTTAATATCAGGTCAGGTAGTTTCACTCCTCCCAGTTACTTTTCACTGTGCCTTGGTGACTCACTGAGCTGGGAAAATCTGCCTTTTCCTACGCAGCACAATGGTCTTGGAATCATTTACAGAAAAATCTTAAATTGGAACCTATGGTGTCACTTGATTCATTTAAGAACATTTTAAAACGTGCAGTGACCGAGGCATGTGGTTTTATAATGTGCTATTTTGTGATTTTTCTTTTTTGTATTGATTTTGTTGGCTGCTACTTTGGCTAGGTCTCTCTTGAAAAAGAGATTCTGAATCTCAATGGGACCTCCTGGTTAAATAAAGGTTAAAAAAAACTAAACTGGTACAATGAAACACTAAAGTAGTTGTAGTATCTGCAATGTGTCACCTAAGTTACAATCTGCAACTCAAACGTTGGCAACGCCTTACTACATAAAATGAACAAAAATTGCCCTCTAGTTCAAAGAAAATCTACAAACAAAAAATAATGAGCCTGAAAATATAATAATAATATTATTATATAATATTTTAATAATAATGTTCATCTATATTGAACGATAAGTCAATAAAGTAAAGTAATTATCATGACAGGCTTAATTCTAAAACCTATAGCTTGGTGTTGTGAGTGTGGTGTCACAATAAGAACTATAATGATTTATCGTTCAATTACTCAATACAATACACACACACAAAATGTTATAACGTAACCGCAATATTTCTCTGTAGTAATATTAGTAAAATTGTTATCGTGACAGACCTAGTGTTCTCCTACCAAGAAATACATGCTATTGTGTTGCTGGGCAAGACACTTCACCCACACTGCTCACTTCACAAGCCATGTGTGGCTGGTTATAACAAGTAGGACAGCAGGAATACACAGTCACTGTGCAACTACTTTACTGTGACAGTCGCCAAATAAAAGACAAGATAAAAAAATCTCTTCCAGTTTTGACCTTTCCCAATATAAAACAGTGCTAAGGTTATAGATACAATATAGATATAGATAAGCAAAAACTAAAAGCAACTTCATTTGATCCTTGAATTAGGAGCATGTATAAAAAGTAGTTTCAGATTTCATTGTTGGTAATGTAGTCTTAGATTGAAGGCCTCAGATAGGACCATTGACGTTATATTTAGACCTGTGCAGATTTATTAAAAGTACTTGTGAGATAGTTGTGTTTATACAACATGGACCCTGGACACAGCGTTCAAATGGGTCTATTTACCATCACCTCTTCATTTAGAGTCATGTAAACCCCTGATCAAACAGCTCTGGTTTCTCCATTGACGGTATAAAGAAGTTGACTAAGAGAGAATGACCTCACCCATCGTGTTCGGTTCCAGTCAAGTGAAGCTCACTGAGGTTGGTGGGTGTAGCTGCGAATTTGGAGCCTCGAGGAAAGATTTGTCTGTTATTAATGTCCATAACTTGATTTATGGACAAAATAGTGAAATAAAAACACCATGATAATGTAGAGTGGGTTAATATGAAATGACACTCCTGACAACAGTAGTTACAGAGAGAGACTACTGTACGTTTTTTCAACTGAAAGTGAATTTCAACCAAAGTTGATGGAGCTGAAAGTGTGCTCATGCTCACTTCTATTTGGAACAGGTTAAGCTCTGTCCATTTATCTATACATTCTAAGGGTCTGGGTCTGTGAACAGAGTTTTCAGAGGGTGTCCACCTCTATGGGCCTGTTTACACGAGAATGCTTGTGTGGATAATACAAAATAGACAAAATATTTTATCTTAAGTGCCTTTTGTTTAGATGTGACGACGTTTTAGGGGCTTAAAAATGCAAAAAACCTGAAACCACCCTCCAGACTGGAAAAGTTGAATACGCTCCCCTGTAGCGTTTCTGTCTACACTGCCCAAGACGCAAACCTCTGGTCAGATCTGCTTATGTCGCGTACATGTTTACATCACATACATACAGTTCACAGAAACAAACATTTCGGATGGCCTATATACCCAGTCGAATTCCTCACACTTTTGCATCACCGTATGCACTCACATTTCCTCCCGAAAATGCTTGTCTAAACTCGGACTAAAGAGTGAAGACGCGACGCCACTTTTGCGTCTTCTGTTCAGACGTCATTTTATAAATGTAGCCTATATGAGCATGTGAAGCATTCTTGTTTGAGAGCTTTTGGACTAATAATGAGGGAGAGAAGGACCAGAGACAACCTGTGAGTCAATGTCAAATAAGAGGAGCTTCCAGCAGTCTAATAGAGCAGAGTGTTTGAGTGTAGTCCAAAGGATGCGTGTGATTCCAATAATGGGAGAGTGTGTGGTCTTCTGATGACTCACTTCTGATGAAAGACTCAGGAACATTTACCTTTAGGCAACATAGGAATTTACTTTGAATGATTAACGTCAATAAGTTTTATAACACACATCGTAACACAACCTGAAGGTGCACTGTGTAACTTTCCGGGTGGAGGATCCGTCACCATGGAGATGTTGTTGCGTTTTTCACAGTACTTATCAAGCACCAAGGTAATTAACGGGTCTGATTTGTGGAAAGGTGGGCCCGCTTAGAGCAGAATGCATACTTTTCAAGGTACACCTATAATTGAATAATAAGCAAATTTAATGCCATACTGTGAGGCATTCCAGGGAAAGCAACCCCGATGTGGTAGTGTGCAACCAGGTGCTAGACTCAGTTGCATAATGCACCTTTTAACTGATCTCAGGAATGAAAAAAAAAAAAAAAAAATCTATGAGAGTCAATGTTTAAACTACTGTATAAACAACAATAAACAGCATTTAGTTTGGGCTCTTGTACTGCTTGAGTGGCCAATATCTTACATCAGTGCATAGCCTTTTAAGCTGTGAAAGAATTAACTTTTAAGTATCTATGCAATATTCGAAAGAGATAAGGCATTATGATTACTAACTATTAGGGGATGTAACAATAACTGAAATATCTTTATTGTATCATCAAAAGTCTCACAATAATATCGTGGGATGTCACAATATATCGAATCACAAGTTCCTTTGCTTAAATGCATGGTTTTACAGTAGCAACAGCTTAGAAACACATCGAACTACATATCCCATGATTCATTTCAGTGCAGACAACATGAAGATAGATGGTTTTTATGTGAATTCTTGGGATTATGATGGTAATAATACACACCAAAATCTTGTCAAGGTATTTTTGAAAGCAAAAAAGTGTCCTATCTGCAATTATATTAGCCTCCTCAAAATATTACAATAAATATCATACTGTGAAATGCATATCGTGATAATATCGTTGAGAGATTTGGATATCGTTGCATCCTTATCTAACTATATACTAATAACAATACAAGGTCATATATTGCACGAAATTGACTCTTGTGAGCTTTTTTAGTTTTAGTTTGAAAAACATACCTGGAGTTGTGTTTTGTTTCTTTCACACGTTTGAGTAACCCTTTATCATTAGTCAGACTCTACATCTACATCTCCAAAGATCAAAATGCTCTGTTCCATCGTATGAGATCATATAGTGTTAGTTTTCATGTTAACGGCTACCTTTCACCTTTAGTTCAGTAGAGATGGGCAATTCCAGAGCTGAAATCATCCAAATTGTTCTAGTGAAGGTGTATGGAGGTTAAAAACACAATGAAGTGCTTCCTGTATTGCCACATGACATCACAAGGTGGAACAGACTGTTTTCTGTTTGAACTCAGGGTTTGTGTGTTAAACGGACATGAATGAAAGAAAACACAACACCAGTTATGTTTATGATGAGGAAACAACATGAGAACATATCTCAAAAATAGCCTAATATGGACCCTTTAACTTTTAAGTTACATTCTTTTTGTTCCTCGTATGTATTTCATTATTGTTTAAGTATAAGCTGCAGTGTGATTCTCTGTGATGTTCTGGTTGAACATTTTTTCGGCTCAGCAATTATCGTGTACTAGTTTTTTATTTGTACTGGCAGGGAACATGTTGTTATTTTTCTGTACTAGGATAAGATTAGAGCTGTGGAGAGCAGAATAAGAAACGTCTATGACTCACCATAGACATTAATTAACTACCGTTTCATTCTGTTATTTATTAAAGCTCATGTTTTTAATGATGTTGTACATTTACAAAAGTGTGATCATTATTGTTGCTTATCATCTATATTTTCTTCAGTAATATATGTATTGAGGCACATTTTGTAAAAACTAAACTAAATCAACTGGACTTCAACAATATATCATACTTCAGCATTTGCTTCTTGTGACTGAGCTATAGGCCTCTCACATTAATTACTATATTGACTTCAATACATGACAGATAGGACCATAATGTTTGGGGATCAATATTTATTGTGAATACTTTTTCTTTGCACTAGTGGGAACATTTTGGTCATTTTCTGTACTACAATGAGATTTGAGCTGTCGAATTATAAACTTCTTATAAATACAAACTTAAGTAAGTGTCACATTCTGCTATTTATTGCAGCTCATATTTTTTAACACTTCAATGTTTCCCATTAATAGAGGAGATCATGGTGGAACCCCATAGTCTAAAAACTAGCTCAACAAAAAAAAAGGTTAAACAAATTACACTTTATGCATGTAGTGTTATTACAAACATATAGAAGTAACAATTTTTTATTTGTAATGACTGCTTTTTTGTTCAGGCAATAAGTGACATATATACACCAAAATACTGTACTAATTCAAATGATTCAGAAGTGGATCAGTTGTGTCACCACAGTGTTCGTATAAACCTGTGGGAACCACTGCACTTAGATTACAGTTTGGGAAAAAAAATGCTTCATGGATTGGTTTCAATATTGTTATTTACTGTCTATATTTATTTCTACTTCTACAGTATATGTACTTCAAAATGTGTTATCATGACAGGCCTACTGAGCTCCTCTCATTACACAGTTTGCATCAGCTTTCATCAGATGGGACAGTTTAATATGTGAATGCCTTTGGACGGGCAGTCTGAGGAAGCCTTTGTGAATGAGTCCACTCTTCATCTGGACTTTGTGTGCACGTGTTGTGATTCACTGAAAAGGCCTGTGTGAGCGTCTGTCACACTCACTGCTGTGTACTTGTGAGACTTGGTGATGTGTGTTCGTCAGATTTCCTGTTTCCTGTTTTATAAATGGGTCACCCACATCTCTGCATTTGGAAATGGGGTGCAGTTTTTGTCTTCTTAAATTGCATGTTTATATTGAACTTGTGTGTTCATTGTGTTTTTTCTTTTTTTCTGTGCAGAACTATGAAGTTAAACCCTACAGAAGCTCCACTTTATGTAAGTTCTTTTTTGTTTGTTTTTCGAATTCACTATAAGATGCTTACATCATGAATATTCATAATATTTGAAACGGAAACAACACTTGTTTTTGCCATTCTATTACCTTTTTGTGCAAGTCCTGTGGAGCTCAACAAATTCATAAATATTGCTCATTCTCAAATCCTTCTGCAATCTTTTCAAATGTTCAATTTAAATATGTAATGTAAAAAAGTCTGAAAATACTAATTCATACAAACTATTCAGTCAGTTTTCCATATTACATCTAAAATTAAATGAACTGAAACAAAGTAAGCTTTATCTTTTTGCTTCATTAATCAAGCAAACAAGTCAAATCTTCTTATTTTTACTTAGAATTTTTGTATCAACCTTCTGTAAAATCCCTGGGGACTTAGATACAAGTTTCCAGAATATATGTTATATTATTACAAACAGAATATCACAACACGTTCACCACAGGTTTTTCTCTAAATCAAAGTTGTATAAAACCCCTTTCATATCCTGTTGCTGCATATCGTCCGTTACTTGTGTTTCACTTGACCACACCTGTGCAGCTCCAGTGTTGACATGCTGTTTAGCTGCTGCTCCACACACTCTTACATAGTTGATAGACACGTTCATTAGGGGAGCAGTGTGTGGTAAGTGTACCAGTGTGTCACAGAGGCTGAGTGGGAGAGTCTGTGTGGACACCCTAATGTAGCGTGAGCGAGACTGATCTGAACATTCCTCTGTGCTATTGTTAGCCTGTGTTGGGTGGGTGTGGCTCTTAACAGGCTTTAACTGTGTTCAGCAGCACTGTGTGTTTAGTCAGGCGTTATGCACTGAGCCAGAGTTTAAAGGAGAAGTAATGTACTCATTGATTTTTGTAGACAGTATTTGTGATTAGTAATAAAAAAAAACAACTCCCTTTATGTATCTGTTGATTATTGTTGGAACATAATGCAATCCAAATATCCGATAAAAGCTGTAGTAGTAGTAAGAGTAGTAGTAGCAGTAGCATGTTTAGAAGTCATTTACTTTTCGGTACATTATTGAGATCACTATTTGGATGATTAGTAACTTATATGTGGACAATAATAGTAACAATAACAATAGATTGGTTTTATATAGCTTTTTTCACTGTAACTCAAAGACACTTCACAATAAAGTAACACAAAAACAGAACAGGACAAACAAAACAAGAAGGTAAGCATAGAAATATCAATGTCAATGTAATAGTAGTACATAGAGGTGGGTAATATTGATACTTTGTAGTGACATCATGCGGGGGATGGTCTACATGTATCTAATGATGAATTGTTTAGCAGTTACCATGGTGACACAATGCACACATTAACAAACGGTCTTAAAAAAAGTTTTAGACCGTCATGTCCTGTTTAGGCGGTTGATAATCAGCAAAAAGGTGAGACCTACTGAGAAACTCTGAGTTGTGCTTGTGAGTCACTAATGTTATATAAGTGGGACTTGTTTAACACTTTATGGTTATTTATGGTCAAATTGTGTTAAAATACAGTTTTTGTTAAACTTTAATCTGAGCTTTTATATCAGACAGAGCAGCAATATCAATTCACAAAATTCAGTTCTTTTTTTGTTTTTTTTTGTTTTTTTTAAATCTCGATGACCATATTCTGACTAGGTTATGGCAGTCCATCATTAATGTGCTAAAACATGCCTGTACGTATCTTTGTTATGGTTAAAGCATAAAACATGGATAGACTGTGACATAAACCCAAAAATAGCAGAAATGTCACATTTTACTCTTTATTTTTAAGCTGCTTATTTTGCACAACTATTCACACTCCAGTCGTACTAAACCAGTATTAAATAGATGATAAAAAATCACAGATGCTTGACTAAAGACCCAAACACTTAAGTCTTATTTTGGTCATTCTAAACCCAAATATTTAAAAGCCAAAAGAACATTGTGCTTGTGTTCTTGTGGGTTTAAGACCGTATATCCACATATCTGTAAATCTGTTATTACTTATGAATGATTTTCATTATTGATTTTTTTTGGCTGCTTTGATAAATGGCCAGTTTAACACATTTCAGTCAGTTCACTGGTCTGTTTTCAATGTCCTGTCCAAGGCCAAGGCAGTGTTATTTAAGGACAAGTGTAAATCTACAAAGTTGATACAAGGTAAAGCGGTCAGCTCTGAGGTAGAAGTACTTTTGTGCTTTTACTTAAAGGTTCTGCATTGCGCAGAATAAACTGTTATGAGCTTTAAGCCATGTTACGATGTTGCTACCTCATCAAAAACACACCTGGAGTTGTGCTTTGTTTCATTCACACATGTTTGAGAAAGCCTGTCTATATCTCAAAAACACAAAATGCTCTGTTCCAACTTGTGATGTCATGAAGCGGTAGTTTTCAAGTTAACAGCCACCTTTTACCTTTTAGTGCAGTGGAGACTGGCAAATCCAGGGCTAAAATCATCAAGAATGATTCTAGTGAAGCTGTATGTCGTTTAAAAACACAGTGGAGCACTTCCTGTATTACCACATGACATAAAGTGGAGTGTTTTCTGTTTGAGAGAGGAATGCAACCTAAATATGCAGGGTTTATGTGTTAAACATATGAATCAAACAAAACACAACTCTTGGTATGCTTTTTTAAAATGAGGAAACAATATTATAACATAGATCAGAAAACAGTGTGATATGAGCCCTTTAACCACAATAGTTGCTCCAAACTATTTAACTAATAGTCAACTAATGTTGAAATAGATTGTACTAAATGTTCACAGTGGCTGCCTCTTGACTAAATAAAAACATAACTTTTTGCAGGGAGAGTGTGTGTTGACTGTGCAGCTGGAGGACAATGACGCCTGTCCCAGCCCTGAGGAGGAAGAGGAGGAGGAGGAGCTGGTGGAGTTTTACCTTTTATTCTCAGGTTCTTCACAGCGACACCTGACGAGCACCATTAGAGCCAGCCCTGCCACACTACAGGCTGTGTGCCCAGGTAACACTCTGATAACACTGGACCATTAACAGCATTATCCAGAGAACAAAGCCAGGTGCCAGTGCATTGTCTGTAATAAACCACTAATGCTGTCTGAGTAGTTAGGGCTCTTGTATGGAGATTGGTAAATGATGCTGTTTTTATATACATGAAAAAAAAACAAAAAACATTAAAATACCCAATACCCAATCTATAGTGTGAATAAAACAACAAGATAAAGTTAGGCCTGGTACAATAACACATTTAGAAGTGCGATATATTGCCCAAGTAAATATATGTAGATGATAAATGATAGTATTGAAACCAAACCATAAAAAAGTATTCTACATGTACAATATTGTTAAAAAACATGAGCAGCAATAAATAAATAACACAATTAGGGCTGTGTATCATTAAGAAGTAGGTGATACGATACATACCTCGATACATAAGCTACGATACGATACATATCTCGATACAGTACACTTTCAATTTGATACGATATATTTCAAATAGATTCGATACAGTTCAATAAAAATAAATCATGGCTGTGATACTAAGTCTTTGTTCAACCACGTCTTATGCAAAGTTCATATGAAGCGCACCCCTTTTAATCATCAAAACAGTGAAAATGTCAAACGTGCCACATAAATGAGTTTCCTTCCTCTGAACAAATGACAAAATAGTAGTGCTGAAACAAAATCATTTAGTAAAATATACCAAAAAATACTCTTGGCGATATATCGATACTGTATCATCAAATTAAACTATACGATATATTGTTATTTCAATATTTTTGCACGCCCCTAAACACAAGGCAACATTTAAGTAACTAGTTTGTATCTAATAATGTGTCACAGAAGTTCAGAATTCAACCTTATACAGCTCAAATCGTTTCATATTTCAGAAAAAATTACCAAAAATGTCTCACTTGTATAAAGAAAGTCCCCATGATATCATGTACATCTGTCATGTTACTGAACAATATGTGGATATAGTAAAGCCTAAATAAAGTCCCATGCTATGTACATAACATGCCCCAAAGTAGATGTAGGCCATGAAAAAATAAAATCTGTATTTTCTTGTAGTCAAATCATGATTTAGATTTTTATTGTGATTAATATGAACATATTATATTCATATTGTCATCTACATCAGTTTACAAGTTTACACATTGCAAATGGCAATGTTTGAGGTGTGAATCCACCTGACACTCCCTCAGGACATGGCTGAGGCCCAGCAATTGATACTTTGCAGTGGCATCACCCTGGGAGGTTCTACATGAATGTGCATTGACAGAATGTTCACCTGTTACCATGGAAACACAATGCACACACAAGCAACACTCCCAAAAAAGTTTTAAGATTGTCTGAAAACTTGAAGAAGAATTGGAAATGGATTTAAACAACACATTTTCAGGAGTCTGTGATTAATATGAGCGTTCATGGTCACATTTAGGTGTTTGATTTTCAACAAAAAAGGTTGAGTGTGACTAACTGAAAAAGCTGTTGGATGGATGGATAAGATGGCTTGTGACTAATGTCATTTGAGAGTGACTTGCACCTGTTGTGTGCTGCAAAAAGTCCACTCCTTCTGGTAAAATTCTGTTCAAATAAAGCTCTGATTAATGTCTAACTTGAGTAACAGAGCTTCAGACAGAGCAGTGCTTACAGTTATCATCTCACCCCCAGTGAATGTGGATGACATCAGCTGCAAAGTATCAATGGGAGGTGTGGTGGGGAAAAGTGTCTTTGTTTGAGCATAGAGCTGCATTCAAGAGATAATTAGTGAATCATGATGCGCCGAGAAATGAGATCACAATGACATCTCACTGTCCAGCCCAAAGAATTCTGAAAACAGACCACAAAAATAAATTTGATAATTCAAGCATAATTACAAATAACCGTATCATTCTGTACCAGCACATTATATTTTGACCTGGAAATGATCTTAATTAAATGGCCTTTATTGCGCTATTTTCTGATCCATGTTATAACGTTTCCTCATCAAAAACATACCTGAATTTTTGTTTTGTTTCAATCACACATGTTTAACACACAACCCTGCATATTTACCTTGTGATGTCATGTGTTAATACAGGAAGTGCTCCACTGTGTTTTTAAACTCCATACACCTTCACTAGAATAATTTGATAGAAGGTAAAGGCTAAAGGTAAGCATTTTGAGCTTTGGAGAAAAAGACGTCCTAAAAATGCAGGATTACTCAAACATGTGTGGATGAAACAAAACACAACTCCAGGTATGTTTTTGTTGAGGTAACAGCATTAAAACATGACTTAAAGCTCACAAGAATCATTTTTGTGTAATATAGGACTGTTAAACATTTATTCATTATATTTATCTGTATTCTGTGTGTTTGCATAGGACACAATATATGCGAGCAGGTGTTGGTGCTGTTGTGTGTGGCCCGGCCCAATGGAGCAGTCATCAACTGTTCTCAGGAGAACTTCACTTTTGTGCAGGTACAAGATTCATTTAGTTTTACTATTTGAAACATACTGTATGTTAATAGCAAGCCTTAATTTTTTTTTTTTTACACTTGTTATATCCTAATGCACCCTTACTCAGCTTTTATTTGCATCCAAATGAACTTGAAATAATTATATAACATATATTGTTTTTAGGATCTGGCCCTGGACAGGGCTCACACGATGCTCAACAGTAAATTACATCAGAAAGCACCACTGTGGAATGATCCAGTAAGTGAAGAGAAAATCAACCTATGTATGTAATAGATTCAGATGAGTTCACTTGCTTTATACCTGTAGGCAAATATGTAGCGATAGTGCTGTTCATGGAAGAAAGAGTCTTGTTTAATTTTTTATGATGCCACATTTAAATACAGTTTTTCATATTTTATTATATCACATGTAAAATGAATTATTTGCTATTATGGACTTGAAACCTGCTTATCTCTATGGAGGTCTTATTGCGTTGCCTTAAATGTTCTTCAGTATGGTATTAAATGTATCTAGAATTAATTTGATTACAGGTTTTTATGCCTGGAAAATACCTTGGAAAAGCATGCATTTTGTGAGCGTATTTGCCTTTCCATAGACCTGTAACTTGGCCTGGAGGCATCACCTGCTTCTCTGCATAGTGATGCATGAGTTTAATATTATATTGTGGAATATTCTGGGCAAAAATGATCCCTATGGAGACCTACTGTTGGTGGACACATAGTGTGTAATGTCAGGGGATTGTAAATGTATGTTGTGACCAGTTATAAATGTGCTTCTTTTTCTACTCATGTATTTGTGGTATGAAATGGTTATAAACTTGTTCAGTAATAATACTGATGACAGTACATGAACAGAAAAATAAAATGAGGGATTTCCTGAACCAAATGGCCGTTCTCTTCCATTAACTGTTTTCTTTTTGTTTTCCACTGATTCCACAGAAAGAATGTAAGGAACTGGATGGGAGCCTCGTCTTGGCTTTAAAACATCTGACTCAGCTGCACAGACGGGGCCCGTGCTCCAGTCCGCTGCCACACATGCATTCACAGAGAGAAGAGCACAGAACACAAACGGACAATCATGAAAACATGAGGCAGGATCAGACTCACTGTACCAATGAAGAGGACCGCACAGACACAGGGACAGAGGCGGCCACACTGTGCAACAGCCGTGAGTATCTAAAGTTCCCTGTTTGATCACCAGTATTACATTACAGTTTCTTCTGAAGAAGAAAAAAAAGTAAAATATAAAAAAGTTTCATTTATACTTGGTAATATTTAAAAGTTTGTGATTTTGTGACATACATACATACATACATACATATATATCTATATCTAGATATATAGATATATAGATATAGATAGATCGATAGATATAGATATAGATATAGATATAGATATAGATAGATATAGATATAGATATATATATATATATATATATATATATATATATATATATATATATAGACAGACAGACGGACGGACAGACCAGGAATATGAACAGGAATATGAACAGGAATATGAACAGGAATATGAACAGGAATATGAACAGGAATATATATATATGAGTGAATATCTAGAGTCACAATGTCAGAATTTGATCATTTTGCTGCTTTGCTACTGCTTCATGACATCACAAGGTGGAACAGAGCATTTTGAGCCCAGTAATGCTGCATTACTCAAATGTGTGAATAAAACAAAACACAACTCTGACTCTTGCAAGCTTTAAGCCATTAATGATGTTGTTACCTCATCAAAAATATACCCAATTTTGTGCAGTATATAGAACCTTTATGCTACATCTGCCACAGCTGCCCTGGGGCTGACTGATGGTTGCACATCTGTTGCTACAGCCCCCTGTGAACCTTGGTCGAAGTGTCTGGCCAAAAGATGCGATACTAGTGTACTTTTTTTTTCTCTCAATTTTGTTCATTATGTGTTTAAAGCACTTAAAACAATTGGTGTTAAGGTTTTTGCATGCTTCTGTGTATTTTTCTGTCATTCTACCAGAAGAGGTCTGACTTGTTCCACTCTGTGCCTAATCGTGCCTTTTTTGGTGCTTTCTTTTTGCAGCAGGGCAGCAGCAGCTCTCAGGTCTGCTCCACTTGGCAGCAGCAGACACTCTGAACAGGACGAGCTCATTCACCCCCCAGGCGCCCGGACACAGAGACAGGCAGAGGAGCAGCACAGACTGTGAAGACACGTCCCCGGACCACCTACAGAGGCTTCAGCCCTTCACACAGTAAGTACTAAGTATCTGCTATATCTTTTTAGCCCTCGTCATCAAACAGTGATATTCAGTAGGAGAAAGTGGAACTCTGCTTTAATGCTGAAAGTATGAAGTTAAACTAGTTTCAATATGCAGTATTTACATTGTCTCTTGTAGCATTAGACATGCTCGTTTAAGATACACTGTTTTATTACTGTTTACACTGATACTTGTTTTTCCATTGTCTGAATTGGATTTTAATAAATGCAACTGCTGTATCTGTTTTATTATCATAGATGGGAAGAATACTGTATTTAATTACAGAATAGTGAATACTGAATTAAAATATGTTTTATTCTGATACATAATTGAAAGTACTACATTCTGAATACTCTGGATACTTTTACACTATAATTGAAATGTAACTGTAAAAGACACAACATAGTATTAAAAGCAGCTTTGTTTACTTCAGTTTCTTATGCATTTTCCTGTCAGTCATTGGAGGAGAATGAAAAATCAAAGGAGCTGTGCTTTATATTTTATTCATTAATACTGTGCAGTTTGAAGCCTAAATTGCATATCAAATACCACAGTTTATGGAATTGTTTTTAGTAAAGTAACTGTATACCACCAAATAAAAGAGTACCAGAATACAGTTACTCAAAATGTGTATTCAGATTATGTATTCAGTTACTTTCCAACACTGTTTATCATGTTTGAAATATCTGATTCTGTGATGATAGTTTTCACTGATGTACAACTGCCATTTTTTTATCCAAATGGTACTGGTCTTTGTGAAACCAGTACAAGGAAACAGTTGCTGAAAAGTCAACTGCTATCTAATCTAGCAGACTTAATATTTACTTGAACAAAACCTGTTAGTGGAGCCATATTGTCTGAGAGAAAGTAGGATATGAACGAACAATACAAACCACCATTATTTTGTTGCATTCAGCTGTTAGCCAACAACACCAGAACTGGTTCAAGTGTTTAAAATGTCCATGACCTTAGCTTCTTTTCTTATATGGGAAAACATTCACAACGTTTCACAAGCCGTAATCATTCTTTCATTTATTCACAGCAACACACCTACCTATTAAGTTAATTTAGAGTTGGCAGTCTTTTCGCTCCTATTACTGTAATGATTTAGCACTGCTGAAGCAAGTCAAGCAAATACAATACCAGGCTTTATTTCCAACGCATGTCAAACTGTTGTGAGCTGAACTGTAACTGAAATGCAGGAGAGGCAAACTGTTTAGTGTAATTAATGAGGCAACATTGAGGGTGTGAGCAAATGCATTGGGCTGAGCTGTACGGAGAAGGATGCAGAGTACAGTTGCTTCTCTGCATGGATGAGTAATGTTAGTTATCTTTTTCAGGTTTTCTTTAAAGGGTTCATATTACACTATTTTCTGATCTATGTTATAATGTTGTTTCTTCATCACAGACATAGCTGGAGTTGCATTTTATTTCATTCATGCATGTTTAACACACACATCCTGCATATTTCGACTATGTTCTTCTCACATACTGACAACACTCCGTTCTACCTTGTGATGTCATGTGGTGATACAGGAAGTGCTCCACTGTGTTTTAAACTCCCTGTACTTTGCTAGAATCATTTGGCAATTCCAGGGTTGAAATCATCATAAATGACGTCTCAAGGTGGAACAGAGCAAATTTGAGCTTTGGAGATGTAGACAGACTAATAATAAAGGGTCACTCCAACATGTGTGGGATGAAACAAAACAACTTTGGGTATGTTTTTGTGGATGTAAAAACATTATAATATGGCTTAAAGCTCACAACAGTCAGTTTTGCATAATATAGGACCTTTAATTGTCTCTCACTTCACTATAAATACATGTATGTATCTCTCTGGCCTACTGCATTACATGGACTCACAGTGCCTTGTATGTTTTTGCAGTGCTGATACAAATGAGGAGTTGCACATTGATCCAGATGGCCACGTTTTCCAGCACCACTCAGAGCTCGGTACCTTCTCCCTGACGTTACGAAGCCTCCACAAGTGGCAAAACAAACGGGATTCAGACTTTTGTTTACAAGATGATGTGGCACAGCTGAGGCGATGTATAGAGCAATACAAGGGCAAAAAGGTGAGAATCATCCATCACACACTTTAGGTCAGAGTTTTATGGATCATGGACACTTGTAAGCCGAAGCAAAAAGTAAATTATTATATAAATAGGAAAGTGTTTTTCGGCATGTATGAAAAACAATAAAAGGAGTAAACATTCCACCCAAACCCATTCTCCCCCCTCTCTTTCACTGTGTAAAGAAATAATCAGATGCTGTGCACAGGCTTGTTCTTGTCCCTAAAAGCCACTTGAATCTCCACAGAGGGAGGGGAAGAGAGAGAATGAGAAAGGGAGAGTGAGAAAGAGAGAGTGGAAAAGAGCAGCTATGATGACAGTTTCTGTTCTGTGGCCTAGCACTGAGCACATCAGTTTTTCCCCAGTTGTTCCACCCCTTCACTGGGCCTATGGAGGACTAGAGTGGAGTCCTCTTCGCTGGACAGTAACAGTGGCTATGTTCACATGCACACCAAAATCTGATTATTATCTGATGTCTGGCTGAATCTGGGCATTTAAGATTATTTAAAAGATGTGTAAACCACAAAATGTGATGTGCGTAATCAGAGGAACCAAGTTCAGAGAGAAATCAGATGGGTTTTTTTCTGTTTTCATGTCATTTTAACGGTCTTAAAACTCCAGAAATCTGATCATAGTTACATTTTAGAGTGTATATATAACCGCAGCCAGTGACTGAGCAGTTTATTTTTTTCATAAGTCATTTCTCATTCACTCTGTATTCGAGGGTAGTATTTGGGAGCTACTGTTCATGTGTCCTTGTATATTTTGTCAGATGAAAAATATAGTGTTTCCTCATCAGACTTTGTTGTTGTTAAAAATGAATAGGGGAGTTTCCTTGTCAGTGTTAGAGGCTGCTACTAAGAACTGCTGACTAGGGACTTTGTTGGTGACTAGAAATTGGCTGTTTTTGGAATAGGAAACATAATTTGTAGCTTGTGTAGCCAAATAGTCTCAAGTTCTGGTTCGCTAACACTATTACTGAATCATGGGAAAAAGTGTGAGCAAAAAGTAATTTAAGAGCAAACTGGCAAAATTCTGGGAAAAAAAGAAAGAAGAAATTGTATTAGTTTCAGTTTAATTTTAGTATATCACATGCAGAGTCATTGTTTGTTTTGGGTTTTTTTTCAGCAAGAACAATAAAATAATGATATAATGATATTGTATTCATGTATCATATTTTTTCTCTACAGGGAAATCACATTGGTACGACTATATCACAATTTAAAGAGGAAATACTGGATGATGATAGAACAAAACCACCTCAAGACAGTTGTGTCCACGGCAACAGCCACTTGGAGAGTACTTCTGCTATTACGATTGGAGCGATTTGTCAAAGTCAGGAAACTGGGGCCACACAGGCAGCTCCTCGCACTGGTCGTAACAGAAGGAATAAAAAGAGAACTACTAAAACTGCACGAACTATGACAGAAAGTTCAGGAAGTCCCCTAGTGGCTGCTAAAGGAGCTGCATCCAACACCATAACGGCACCAGAACCACTATCATCCACTGATCAAATAAGGGAAACCGTATTTTCAGACAGTTTTTCTAAAGATGACTTTTCCCATTTTCCGACAAGCCCAGATAGCGATGAACAGAACAGCAGCAGGAAGACTCTAGCCTCACCAGCCACGGCCATTGTACCAAAACAGGAAGAACAGAAATGGGAAGTTGAGCAAATCATATTGGACCAAGTCACACAAAATGAAGTGACCGAACAGGGACTCGTTGAAGCTGTAAAAACAAAAAAATGTTTGGTAATTTTGCATCACAAAGAAGCTATCGAAAGAGCAGGTTGGTACACTCCTACTAAGTGTATTTGTGTTAATATTGATTAGCGACAAGAATGACTCAAATTAACTGTCACGTGCCGCAGGACTTTTAAGCAAGCTTGAAATGTAGTTCATGGGTTAGCCTTAATAGTCCTAAAAAGTCTTCTTTATACAAAGAACATGGTTAAGAACACAGAAGTGTCATTCACACTTACTTTTCATAGTGAACTATACTTTCTTTAAATTGTGTGGTTTTGTTGAAAAAATGATGATGGCTGCAGGCACTTTCAGTTTCATAAATGCAGTAATTTGCCATTTTTAGTATTTTTACTGCACTACTCACCATATGTGCAGTAAGTAAATCTATCAGCACTGCTTTAATTCTGCTCTGAGTATGCAAATGAGGCCATGTGGTTAAAAAAGGAAAACAGATGTATTCATTTGTAGTACTTGCTTACTGCACATAGTGACATGTATAACATGGTTTAATGCCATATTTTCTTGTTTTCTTTTAGGAATCATGGGCCAGGACCAATCCCTGATTAACGCTGAAAAACATTCAGAAAAAACTGCTTCTCCTGAAGGTGAAGAGAGGGTCCCAGTACAAGATGAAGGCACTGTCTCAGACAGACCAGCCTGCTTCCAGGGAGCCAACAGCGAGGAGGTGATGAAAGAAGAACCAAAATCCCTGTCCATTTGGTATGACTGTGAACAACTGGACATGAGCAAAGAAACAGACTGGAGCTCTCCACAGCTGTCTACTGAACTGTGTGCTAGCCCCCGTCAGCTGTCTCCAACTCTTACTCAGCCACATGCTACTGGACTGCAGCCAGAAGTGTCACATGGGCTCGCCTCACAAAGACAGGAAGTCCTCGGATCACAGCGAGACGAGGAAGCAGGGCCAGATTGGGAGAAGTCGAGCAGGGAGGAGGTCAGCGCTCACAGCAAAAGGAGCTCGGAGAATGACGAAGACGGACATGGGGACAGGAGCGCAAAGCTTAGGAAAAAGAAGAGGAAAAAACGGGGCAAACGTGGAGGTCCGGAGCGCAAACAACTGAGCTCAACTTCTAGCATCGAGTCTCAAAGCCAAACCGAGATTCAGATGCAACTGACTGACCAGAATATTCAAGAAAAAACAGGAAAAACTGACATTCCAACTACTTCAGTTCCAGGGACAAATACAATGCAACTACCAAACCAGGCCGAAATCCAGGACGGGGCTAGGGATGGTACGCACTCCATTAATATGGAAACTAATTTATCTGAACTTCCTGGGACAACGGATTTTAACATATTGGGAGAGATTTCAGAGGATAAAACCACAATATTTCATGAATCTAACAAGCTAGTTTGGGGCGCTGCTCCTGCCCAGTTGGAGGAAATGGACGTACCAGTGCTGGAAAATGTTGAAACGCCAGAATCACAAGTCGAAAAAAGGGAATTATTTGATTATATTAATAATGATATTTTGGATTGTAATCACGGTATCACGGTATTACATCATCAACCGAGTGAGAGCGCTCCAACAGAACTTCTTGTCACTCATCCAGATCAGAAACAACTGAATGAAATGCTGCTGGACCCACTAGCTGAGAAGTATTTACTGATCCATCCTTTGGGTAACAGTCCAGAAAGTATTGAACCTGTGGGTGCTTTTGATTCTCCTGTTGATGGTACAGCGGATGTCCCACCTCCTCAAACAGGGGAAGGAAGCGCTGAGATAACCGCGGAGGGACCATCGTGGCATTGTTTGGCTTCAGAGATTCCTGCACACAGGAGCCTTGAGGAGGAAAATAAAAATGAGTTGTGGAAAGAGGAAGAGGCTAAGATAGGAAGCCTGCCGAGGCGTGAAGTGATTGAGCTGTGCGCTAATAATGTAGCAGGAGTGGGGGAAGGCCCTTGTTCAGGCAGCGAGCTGGAGCTAGCAGCCACAGCAGTAGCAGTTGTAACTGTGGCAGTAGCATCGGCAATGGCTACGTTTGAACTTTGCCAACAGTTAGCAGAGAATTGCACAAAGCCGCCTGGTATTAATCCATTAGAACAAAAAACAGATGAAACGCCTGGTCTGTTTAATCTAGAGGGCCATTCTGTCAACACTAGTCCAGTACAGGACATTACAAAGGAGCAGACCCACTCTGAGTCACAAACAGAGGGGTCACAGAATGAATTTAACATTGATTTTGCACAAGAATGTGGAAACAAACCAGATGGCACTAACCAAGCATTAACGATGGACATCACCAATGATTTACAAGCTGAGAATTTAGGTTTGCATCAAACTATTGAAGCTACTACACATACTGACAAGCAAAAAGACTCCAATAATCAGGAGCCATTAGCCTTAAACAGCAGTGAACAGAACAAAGGTGATTTGACAGTGGTGGAAGAGCCAGCTAATATATTATGTAACGAATACATTAAGATCCCATCAAGTGAAACAAGCGAGATTACCAATTTAGCTGTACCTGAAGAGGTTTCAGATAAGACTTCAGAAGCTTGTAATGATCTAGATACAGGTCAGAAAGGTCTACTTATGCCAGAGGTGAATAAAGCAGAAGAGATTATGAAGGATGTAAATGATGGAGTGGATGAAGGTTGTTCAGAATCAGGAAAACCTATAAGAAAAGAAAGCAGTGACTCAAGTTCAAGTCAGCCTGAAATTGCCCCGCTCACAATAGAAGAACAATTGCTACCATTGTCTTATGCTTCACTATCTTCCATAATAATCACACATGAATCCGGCCATTGCCCAGAAGAAAATGTGTTTGTGGAGTCAGAAATGAGAACAGAGGAATCTCAAAATGATTTATCTGACACAAAAGTGACTGTTGTCATGGAGATAAAGGATGATCCTGTGGAAATTCTGGATCAGGACAGAGATGTTGTAGATGGATGGAGAGAAAGGGAGAGGGAGAAGAAAGACGACAGTGAGCAATCAGGTAAATTATGCCTAGGTTTATTTTATATCTTATTGTACTAATAATAGAAAGTTCTGTTTTTTTTGTCTCTTTGAAGATACTATATACCTCTTGCTGCTACACTCTTATTTATTTTCACATATATTTAGATTTTATTAACAGTAAACCCACCTCCAGGTTTTTGCGATCATTAAAATCAAGCAGATTTAGTGTTGTTTTGGCCTTTTATCATTGAGTTTTTTTAGTGACCTTTTGATAACTTTTTGTCCCCAGCTAAATGTTTTGTAATCATTATAAATCTAGATAAGACACTTAAGTCTATTTTCTATCAGCACATTGTAGTAAAATGTACACATAAACATACACACAGTCTGGTGGTCTGTCTTTTTAAAGGTGCACTGTTTAACTTTTTTGGTGGAGAGTCTGCTTGTCTCCATGGAAAATTATGCTTTGCTTAAAATTCATGAGAACAATAAAACACCTGTAATTGAATAGAGGCACAGCCAAACAGTGGTGGAACCCGCCTTTCCACGGATCTGACCTGTAACTTTGGTAGCATCACCTCCTTGTCTCCATGGAGCTGGAAGTTTAATTCTAGTCTGAAACATTCCAGGGAATGCAAAAGCTGGCGAGGGACCCTCCAGCAGAAAAGTTGCATGGTGCACATTTAGGACTGATTTCTGAAAAAACTGCAAGAGCACTTTTCCTCAAAGATCTGCATATGACAGCATGTGAAATTATTGTACTATATTTGCAGATTGTGTCACTTTTATCTTATTCTGAACTAAAGAGAGATGAATCAGCTGGACTTATTGACTCAGCTCACTAACTAAAGCATCTTACAACAAGAGTGGTGATTCATTGGACAGCCTAATGTTAGCCTTGTGATGTAAAATGTTTAGCCTTGCTGTCTGAGGTTAAAAAGTGGTAATTGTTCCACTAAAAGTCATCTGTTTTGGTTATAAAAGCATTAGACTTACATTTACTGACCTTTCTTCTGGCTATTAGATAATTTTAGCTGCTTTGTGTTTGGGTGAATAGGAGGAAGTGGAGAGACAGTGCATAGAATAATGTCACTGGCGGGGCGTGAGCTGCAGACGGTTGATCTGGCTCCACTGTTTGTATGGGGCACGTATCCGGGCAACCTGGTGATGTCATCAGAGCTCGCAGTGGCCAGCAAAACTCTAGTCCGTCCGAGAAATGACTGTAGACAGCATCTATGATCTTTGTGTCAGAGATGTGTTTGAAGTGAGCCAGGCTCTGTGGCTAAGAATACTGGGGTAGCTGGTGAGGTTAAAAAGCTGCGGTGCAATTATTTTATCAAAATTAGTTTAGAATAATTTTATTACCATTGTAAATTACCAGGATTCACAAACTAGGTATTTCTTTGGTGATTGGTGCAAGCAGTAAAAAATTAAAGGCCAAAAAAGTCAAGTAAATTTTTAAAAAGGCCAGATATTGAAGGTAAAAAACAATATAATAAAAGATAGAAAATGCATGCAGTATAGGTAGTAGGAAGTAGTAGCCCTTGCCATAGATGTCCTCAGTTGTTGTTGTAGTAATTGTAGTAATTGTAGTAGTACTTGATGTGGTTGTGGATACAGTAGTACAGTAGTGTTTAGATGTGGTCAAATTTAGTTTTCTCCTTGATCCTGGAATTGGAAACAATATTTGTGAACATACAGTGAGTGTGTTTGTGAAATCAAAGATGTACATGTGTGCACCAGCGTTACAAGGATCTTCTTATATGCAGGTGCACCACCTCCTCAAACAGCAGTGACTCATGCACTGTTTGATTTCAGTGTCACCACATCCTCTTTTATGGGCAAATTTGTGACCAGTGCCCACTGTAAACCCCTACCCACTGTACAGGGGTTACTCAAGTTTGCATAAAACTCAAAGCAAAAATGTGACCAAAATATCAGTGCCAGGCTTTATTATTATTATCACTTTTTAACAACACAATGAGAAGTAATTCCAGTGTCAAAATTGTTGAATTGTTTGAGCTCATTCTGGTCTGTCAGCTTGTCAATAACTGTATTGTATGCACGACTAATACTGTGTTGACAATAGTTGAAATCTGCCTTTGATCTTAGCTTTTCTCTTTGGTCTTTGTTCTCTTGACAGATCCTGGCACATGTTCAGCAGAATGTGAGGAGCCTGGGTCTACGAGGAGCGTCAAGGACTGTTTACAGGCACTTCAGGTGAGTGACACTGAGCTAACAGAGATAATGCTACAGTATAGGAAACAGTATTAGCAGTAGATAAGAGAAATTATACTGCTCGTGGAGATGTTCCTTTATTGTTGGCATGTTTTGTTTTTTTTAATGGCAGATTTTATATTCAGTTTTGCATTCCTGTTATGTAGTTTCTTCAAAGTGACCCCCACAGACGTTCACTGACTGATTGCTGAGGGTTAATGGTGCTAAATCCAAATGTAACCGAGGGTTATTTAAACAGAATGTGACTCAGGTTGTTGCTTTTCACCAAAATGTTGGTGAATAGTGCTTTGGGTTATTCTGGGGCTGTGTGCTTGGGCAAGACACCTCCCACCCTGAATAAGTGAACATGGAGTTTAAGTGCGTGATTGGAGGTGGTCTGAAGGTCTGGTAATGCATTCTTCCTTGTATAAGTCACATCCAATAATATTGATATAGTTACAGTACGTTTGTAAAACTATTTTTGTGTTTAGGGGGTCAGGTGGAGCCTGGCCTGCCATAGGCCCTGGAGCAAACACATAAATCCCTTTTCCATGTCTCTGAATGACGCACAAGTTGCTTTACTGGACACAGAGGTCACTAAATAAGTTGTGGGAATACTGCATCTGCTCATCTTTGGAGCATCAAGGATGCTAGTATATGCAGTGATGGAAAAAAATGAATTGATTGTTTTAACAAAACAGTACATTCTGATTCAAAATTAGTCTTGTTTACAACTTGATCATTTTTATCCATATGGATAATATTGTAGCATTAACCAAGGTATACATTTTCACAAGTTAAAATTTATGCTAAAGTTATAAAAAAGTATCTGCTGATTCAGAGGCAGGAGATATGCTGAAGTAAAATGACACAGATATTAGTTTTCTGTGTTTTATTATATACCAGCTGAAACAAGGCCACATGTAGAGTTAACAGCATCTGCACAAAGTGTCAAGGCTTCATTCATGATCAGATGCAGTAAACACAACTCTTGATTCACTGAATAAAAAGACTTGTACTGTTCTTGTACTTTTATAACAGTCGGGGAAGTAGTCATGTCATTGTCTTTGCTCTACTGCCCCCTTGTGTTGATTCTCACTGTAAACACTTCCAGATGTGAGGTGGTGGGCTGGCTCTATCTGGGATCCCGCTCTGCGTCACATCTGGACGCTGTACAGCCGTTTCCATGGAAACTGCTTTATTTGTGCGCTACTGATTGGTTTCAGATGGAGTTGATTATTCCCACTTATTGGCTCACAGTCACTGCTCTCTCCCACTGTGTACCACTCATTCACAGTTTGAGGCAGGGCATGCATATCATTTAGATACTGTTTTTCTTTTGGTAAAGTATTGAATGCATTGTGTAGATAATTACAATAATGAAGTACAGTACAATAATACAAAAATATGCACGTGCAATACCTGCAGCAGTATGTGGTCTAAACAGTGTCCTAAACATGTGTAACCATAGCTACGACAAGCAGCATATAACAACATTCATATTATTTATACACTGATGCATTGGCGCCTCGCTGCTTGTGGTGATATATCTACAGTTTTCTGAGATGTTTTTGGTGGTATTTCTTATTGCATAGAGTTAAATTCTAATGTTACTGACCTCATTGTTCCATTTCCCTCATTTTACTTTATTGGACCTTTAGTGCTTTTGTTTCCCCAATCGTGCCTGGGTTGATTAGGCTCGAAGTTTGTGTTGCCGGGTCATTATCAGTTACGCTTTATGACATATTTGGGAATTGTAAAAATATGTATTGTTAGCTGATGTGTAGTGTTTTTTTGCGCTGCACACTGGTCTGTGACAGGAACAGAGCTGCATTAAACAGAATTTGGCTCATCATTGTTATGAAGTAAGTTTAAACTGAAGACACACATAATGGGTGTGTACAAAATGAAAGGTCCTATATTACACAAAATTGACTCTCGTGAACTTTAAGCCATGTTAGAAATGTTGTTACCTCCTCAAAAACATTACTCAGATTTGTTTTGTTTCAGTCACCCGTGCTTGAGTTTGAGTAACTAGTCTGCATCTCCAAAGCTCAAAATGCTCTGTTCCACCTTGTGATGTCAGGAAGTGGTAGATTTCAATTTAACAGCTACATTTTACCTTTTGTTTTGTAAACTGGCAAGAGTGTTTTCCGTCTGAGAGAAGAACTCCACCTAAATATGCAGCGTTTGTGTGTTAAACATCTGTGAATGAAACAAAGCACAACTCCAGGTATGTTTTAATGAGGAAATAACATATCATAGATCAGAAAATGGGTAATATGGACCCTTTAACACATGTACACTATTGTCAAGAGTTGAACATGCAAATTGAGAGATTATTTCTTGCTTGTTCTGGAAAAGAGAGATTTCCATACAATTTATAACACATTTACAAGGATGCAGATGACTATTGTGTGCACAGCCATTCTAGCACACCCCATCAAAGTAGCTCAAAGAGGTTTTTTACTTGTGTACGGTGACCCTGAGTCAGTAAAACAAGCACACCTCGTAATGAGCAGACGCCCTCCCCTGCAACACACTTTGGAGTTGCTCAAGTTGGTCAAAAGTGCATACAGAAACGCATAGAGGTCCATTGTATGTGTCTGAGAGGGAGCAGCGGAGGTACCCACTGGATGTGAGGCGGTTTGTTTGAGCGACAGATGTGATGGGTGGAGCACCTCAGAGAGCGAGGAATGGACGGCCTGAAGGAAAAAGAGAAAGAGTGGGAAGGAGCAAGAGAGGGAGAGAGGGAGGGGCCAGGCTCTGAGCAGATGTGGGCAAGGAGGCTCATTTTCCAACTGCACCAGGATTCTAACGTTCTACCGGATTTTACATTGGGAATTAAATAAGAAATAGCTTAATCTGTTTTCAAGAAGTTTTCTCTACTTTCTTTGTTTCTGACTGAAGAATTGTCTGATTGGCTTTTTGATACGGATACCCTAGCTGCAGCTGTTTTCGAGGAGTTTTTTTAGTCCAGTGGTAACTGAATCCCAAAGCTACAATGCTTGGATTTGAATTTTGAAAGTTTTTATGGGGGAAGTGTTTTTTTCTTCAGTGTCAAATGAAGTCAAGAAAGAAGAAAGTCCTATTATAATTCCGGGTTTGAACCTATAGTGGGAATGATTTGAAGTTTCGGCATGTATGAGAGACATAGGCGGAGGTACAGTTTCTGTTCCAAAGCAGAGAGGACCGTGGATGTGGTCCTAATTAAGGTAGGTTTGTGCCAATGTTTGAATTTCCTATTGTAGAGTTAATCACTAAGAAGGCCTTGTTATTCTTGTGCAACATTATATTTTGCTCATTTTGCTCATGTTGTTGTCACATAGACATGTCAACACCACACTCTGCTGAGCTAATGCTAGCCCATAAAAAATAAAAGCTACACTTGAAGGTCTTGTCAAATGCTAACAGCTTATGAACATGGTTGCCTTAGACTCGTGGCAGTGGTTTAGGTAGCGATGAGTGAGTTTACTGTATTTAAGTTTGTTTATTCTCTCCACAATCCTGAAACAATGTACCATGGCATTTATTTTACATTGTGAGTTGGGTGAATATGGAAAAGGTCTCAGCAGCATAATCAAGAGATTGCAGAGGGAAAATAACATTAGCAGTGGCACAAAAAGCATGTGGTACTAAACTGGTTCTGTTTATGCCAAATGCAGTACAGCTGTACAGCTCATTCTACTGGTCCCACATAATACTACTATTTCAGCTACTATTTCCACTTGTTTTGAGCAGCACATACACTTTTACATACATACATTCATTGTTTTGCTTTGATGTTATTGCTTTTTACTACACTGTTGACTAGCTGCCACTTGTCAGTGTATTTCAAATATGTTCCTGTCTTTAACATTTAACACATTAACAGGCACAATAGCTAACCCTATATATTACATAGACTTGACTCGTTTGAGATTTAAGTCATTTTATAATGTTGTCACCTCCTCAAAAACATACCTGGAGTTGTGTTTTGTTTCATTCACGCATGTTTGGTTTAATCACCTATTATTATTAGTCTGCCTACATCTCCAGTGCTCAAAATTCTCTGTTCCACCACATAACAACACAAGTTGGAGTGTTTTCAGTTTGAGAAAAGAACTCAGCCTAAACATGCAGGGTTTGTGTGTAATGTGTGATTGAAACAAAACACAACTCTTAAGTATGTGATGAGGATACAACATTAAAATGTAGATCGGAAAATAGCGTAATATAGGCCCTTCAAAATCGTATGTTATTAAGTTGTGATTTGGGGTGAAAAACCAATGCAGAAATCCCGAAATCCAGCAGTAGATAGCTGGCAGTTCTCTCAGAGCCAATGACTAGTGTGCTCTTCCCACGCGGATCACACCCTCCTCTGTCTGGTCGATGTCATGGACCACAGACCACATGTCAAAGCTTTCAAGTCCAAAATTTGAGGCTTTACAAAAGTTCTTTATTGTAGGTGTCAAACAGGGCCAACACCTACTGGTCGAGTTTGATGTCTCATCAAATGGCAAAGCAATGTTTATTTAACATTGTACAAAGTGCTTATAAATATTTAAAGTATGTACATTTTAGGCAAAAATGGCCTATAACAGAAGCATGTTTTTTATTTAGTTTTCTTTATTGCACTGACGACCTAAAACAACAAAACAAAAACATTACATACGTCTGAGCTGACTGTTTCCATGGAAATGTTTTTCCTTTGGCTATAATCCTCTACAGTATGTCATAAACTTCACTATCTCCATGGAGAATGCTCCGAAGTGTGGTTTTAACTATAACTTACTTCCATTTCCAGTGAGTCATGCAGGAGATATGCCATCTCCAGAAAGTTACATACAGATTTCGGATAAATGAGCAGAAGAGAGCTCTTTTTACAATTGCAGTAGGAAACGATCTACATTTAATTAAAAGTAAGGCTACACAAATAACCAATGATGAGCAAGGTCTAGTCAGGTTGAAGTGCTTTTGGTTTTGATTGTTTCTTTATTAACTCTAATCATGTTGTGTACTATTTTCAGAAATTAATCTCTTCTTCCTTCTTATCGATTTGCATTTTAAAACAACAGTCTACACAAAACCAGACATGTGGCAGTGGGCAGTGAGTGGTCGCCACCTACATGTAGACTGATGCAAAGTCTCTCTTTTGTGTTGAAGGCTCTTTGCAGGATGTTGATAATAGACAGAGTAGGCAACATACAGTCCACACAACAGCACCATTGAGAGCCGAGTCAGAGGGGACAAAGAACGCTTTAACTTCTGTGATTAACAATCTCACAACTAAATATGAGCTCATTGGGATGGCTCGGCCTACAAGACTATCACAAGAGACTATTGAGGAGCCCTCAGATTCAGGCTTTGAAGACACTGGTGCATAAAAATATTCTGTATGTGGCACATGTTACAAGCATTTCCTATCCGTCTGCTTTAACTCATGTTGATGGCCCCGGGTTAATGAGAAAAGCCATTACAGTAGGTAATGAACAACAACAAAATCATGTGCCAAAAGGTGTGCGTCTCATCAGTGTGAAAGAGAAACTTCACAAAAAATAATTAAATAAATGCACAAAATATGAATGTATTAATTTATGATAAATGGTGTCTAAAGCTGGTCTCGTTTTGTTCTTGGGCTAGACCTGTCACAATAACATATTTTCAAACACAGTATATTGCTACTGTGAAATACAATTATATGATAAACGATAATATACTACTTTATGCCACTGTCATAAAGCAGGATAATTCCAGTAAACCAATTTTTGAATACTGCTGCAACAAATAAATGGCAGAATGAACTGATAATTAGCCATAGCATTTATTTTACCCGCTACAGCTCAAAATTACCATATTACATAGAAATGGCCAAAAATCTCCCCACTATTGCAAATAAATTGTACCCACAATAAATATTGAGCCCCAAGATATCTTGTACTAGTAATCATATATTGAATGTAAGTTGATTTAGTAATTATCATGACTTGTAGACCTAATCTTGCCTAATCTGTGTCTTGTCCCACCCTCAAACTGACTGAATCTTAATGTCACTGGGTACATTGTTATTTCACTAGTGGCATCGCAGATTGTGACGCTTTGATGAAAGTTTAGTATTTTCACATGACACCATTTTGATCTTGGTTTCTACAGATCCAAAGAGAGTCAGATGTTTTTGGTCCGGTTCAACACTGTGCAGACCCCAGCCCTCAGACTGGTAAGAACAGCTGGCAAAAAAACTTCACATAATTCTAAATCTGATGCTGCCCACTAAAAACATTCAATATATTTCTGTAGCCATCTCTCAAGACAACAAGAAGCCTTCGTTGGTGTGTTTACAAGAGGAGGAGGATGTCAGTCCAGAGACCAACACTGAGGACAGTATTTCTTAAAGAGGTACAAGATTGAACGCTAGAACAACTTCATTGCTCTATCACCAACACACATTTAGATTATAGTAAGACATGACCAAAACATTTGATAATTATTGACATTTTTTAGTACCCAGTTCACTGTTGTGTAAATCGCAATCTTAAAGGTCTTATATTACACAACATTGACTCTTTTGAGCTTTCAGCCATGTTAGAATGTTGTTATCTCCTCCTTTTGTTTCATTCACGCCTTTGAGTAGCTCTGCATTATTCAAAGCTCAAAATGCTCTGTTCCACCTTGTGATGTCATGAAGCGGTAGTTTTCATGTTACCAGCTACTGTTTACCTATAGTTAGTAGAAGTTCAGAATTCCAGGACAGAAATCATCCAAATGATTCTAGTGATGTTCTATGAACTTTTAAAACACAGTGGAGCGCTTTTTCTGTTTTCTGTTTGAGAGGTGTGTGAATGAGACAAAACACAACACCAGGTAGGTTTTCGTTGAGGTAACAACATACATAACATAACATAGAGAATATGCAGAAAAAAAGCACAATATGGGCCCTTAAAAGAGTAAGTTCTTCTGTTGAAATGATGAAGGGTGCTCATTGTTTCACCCGATTAATACCAGAGAGATCCAAACAAAGCACACTTTTCACCATCTAATTGCCTCTAGCCCAAAAGTCCTCACAACACTCTGAAAACAACATCTGTACACACCCACTGTGTTTCCTGTGCATGAACATTTCCATAAGCTGAACATAATCAGCGGTGGTCTGCGTCCATCGGCGTCAGAGCTCTTTGACGTCACGCGGCAGCTGGCCCCAATATTGGACCTTCGTCTGGCTAAAAAACACTGCTCACGCGTACTACCTTTATGCCTGCTAAAATTAGCCGCTCTGGGAGAAGTCATGTTACGCAACGGGCTGGGAAACTCTCCTCTCTGTAGTTTGGCAAAGCGGTGAGGAAAACCTGGCTGTGCACATGCAGTAGTTGCGTGGAAACAGGTCTTTAATGAAAAGTTGTCACGCATTCTGCTGTTACTTTCTAATACTGCTTTGGTCATATGAACATTGTTTTTGAAAGTTTTTTAAACTTTGGTCCACTTCAGTTAAAACTTCAGAGATTCTTGAATACTGAAAGAGCAGTCACTGCAAGAGTATGACTCACTTGTTCTGAAAACCACTTTTCCACTGGGTTTTCTCATATTTGTGAGGCCCGAGGCGAGACGAAGCATGATTCCTTGAGTTAATGACATTTATTTGGTCGACAGCATTTTTATGCTTTTTGTCTTTCAATATCCTACATGTCATAATCAATCCATGTAATGAGTTCCTAAAAGTGATTTAAAGGTGTACTATGTAACTTTTTGGTTGGGGATCCTACCTCTACGTTTCATTTATTCAATTAAACTGTTTTACTGCTTAAAAAACATAGAAAAACAGGCATTTTGACTTTGAGCAGGGTTGCCTTTCCACAGATCTGGCCATAACTTGGTCTGGTTTGGTCTCCATAAAGATATAAAGGTTTAATGCCACAATGTGAAACATTCCAGAGAAAACTGTACCATCACCATGGAGAAAAGCTTTTGCTGGACCCTCCAAATGAAAAGTTACATAATGTACCTTTAACAATAATTATTTATTTTTGCTTATAAAATAAATGTTTCTGATGCTTCACTCATCAGATTTGTCCAGAAACTTTAATAAATATATACTGTGCCCTGCAGTGTGAGACCCCTTGTACAGAGTGCGGTGATCAGAAAGTGCGTGTCTCCTGGTCGTCTACTGACGATGCTTCGTCTGTGCTGGGAACCTTCAGTGAGGAACCTTCAATTTCAGCCTCTGATCCAAACACCTCCAGACTCTCCTGGAAGTCTGAGGCGGACACAGGTAACATTAATCCCAACTCAGAAGTATCATCTTCATCTTCTATCAAACTAAATCAAATCTTCCTGATTATTTATAACTATGTTATGATGATTTATAACTTCTATGATTGGTGACTTGCATTATTGAAGGACTTGGAGAAATGGAAGGAGGAGAGGAGGATGAGAGAAAAGATTCACTGCCTGAAAACATTTTAACGTCAGCCATTTTGAGAGCTACTCGCCGCCGCTCTCTGTCACCATTGCGAAGACACAGCTGGGAGCCGGGGAGGAACGACTCTGCCTCAGATATGAACATGGAACAGAGCAGGTCCGCCTTACTCAGCCCTAATTTGTTTAAGGTGTTATTATATATTTCACTCACAATACCCTCCGTTTCTTGTAGTCCTCTTGTAAGCCTCACAGAAGAATCCAAACCTTCTAAAACGCCTAGTCACAGGAGAAGGTAAACAAATACTCATTATATTTAGATTCTTGTAAACATATTACAACGTGTTATAATCAAGAATAACTTATAAAGTTAGTTAACCACTTTCCTCTTTTTTCAGTATGAGCTGGTGCCCAGCTAATCTAGCTCCTCCTGACCCAGACCCAATTGACAGCCGAAGGTAATTAAACAGGGTAGCAACTTTTTCCACCAGACAATGAGTTGTGCAATAGATGACCCTTTCTTTTTCTTTTTCAGCTATAGTCTGGAGGGCTTGGTGGAGGGGGAGCAGAGTCCTCTCCCATGTGAGCAGGGGGATCTAGAGACGCAGCAAGAACAAGTCCGTTTCTCTGAGGAGGGACAGCAGGTACTTTTGATACTGTGCTTTTTCAGTCCATATGGGATCTGTACAATTTTAAGAGCAAACCAATACATACATAAAGTAGGTTTTCATGTCTTCCTCCTTAGAGTTAAGTTTTTATTCATAGAAAGTACTTTATCCATCACCTGCTTGTCTTCTTGGAGATGTTCTTCCCTGAAATGTTCCATATTCAATGAATTACAATTGTTTTGTTACTAAGAATGCCCTAAAATCCCCCCCAAAATATCATGCGTTCTGACTGTGTATGGGCTCGCCTCTTCAAACATAGTGCATTTTGTAGCCTGGAGTTTACTCTGTGCCTGTTCATCTGGTTGAAATTACAACTACCAAGCAGGAGGACAGGAGGTGTTGTGTTGACAGAATAGCATCTTCAGTTTTCAGTTCAAACTTATTTACTTGTCACCAGGTCCTGTCAATGACTTCCAGCTGTCCTGGAATGTTTCATCACCAAACCCTCACCAAATCTGTCTCCATGGTAGCCATCAGTCACCGAGACATTGATGGTGAGTGTCTCCAGTTCCTGTTTTTTATCTTTTCCATCTTCCACAAGTATTTTTTTAATGGTGAAAGTGAAAATGGTTTTGCTCTTATGTATTCACTTAATCCATTTTAGCTTGTGGATGTCTACGATCTAAACGCCGCATCAGCTTCTCCATCAGTATTTCCCCACTACTTTCCAAAAACAGACGTTTCTTTTCTTTGGGCTCTTCCTCCAGTGATGAGGATGAGGTGGGAGGGAGTAAGTACGCTGTCTGAACAAGTCTGCGTGCTAAATAATGTGGGCAAAGCTAACCACAAGCTAATTTTTGTGGTCAAAGTGATAACCCCCTCCCTCCAGTGTTCCTAATCCTCTCTAAAATCCCTGCATAATAATTCTATATTTTTGTTATAAAACACTGTATCATGGTCTACTGTTAAGTTTTAATCCAGGGCACATATTGTTAAAATTAGTATTTGTGTAAATAACAATTACTATATCTGTCACATCATGAACGTATGGAAGGCAAGTCGCTTAAAATCAAGACTCACATGAAGAAATTAGCCCAAACTGAAATTCATCCTATAAATTGCCACTAGAGGTCACTGATCATCCACTTAGTCAAGTAAAAATGTTTTCTTCTGTGGTTGTTTTTAAATGTGCAATAAAAAGAGTTGAACAAGCAGCAGTGCATTCACTTAACCTTTCCTGTTGTGTCCATAACTGTCCCACTCCTTTTATTTCATTTAGATTAGATTGTTTTTGCACTCATGCAATTTCCAATTTAATTTGGTATTCCTATATTTTTTTAGGTACAAGCTCTTTCATCAGCTCTGTGGAATGCAGGTAACTGTGCATTTATTGTTCAAATGACACGAAATGAAAGTTTTTGTAAATTTCACATTTCTGGTTCATCTTTGTGTCTTGCAGTATTTCAGAAGAGGAGCCAGGGCCACTGAGAAGCACCACGGAGGGGAAAGGAGGGCCCCGAATCAGCCGAACGTTCAGTTACCTCCGAAATAAAATGACCAAAAAGGGCAAGGTAGTAAAATAATGCATTATACAGAAAAGTATTATTGTAATGACTGGTAACTCTTATTGACATAACATTTGTGAATTTCTCTTTGTACATAATTCATATAGTAGTCAATGGGTGGTGGAACATAATGAAGTACAAATTTTAGGTATCTGTACATTTTAAAGTAGGCACTTTTTACTTTCACTTCAATACATTTGAGAGCAGGTATCCGTACTTTCTACTGCAGTATAGTTTTAAACTGGACCGAAAAGTAAAAGTATTTTGCTGAGGATGAGGGGTTTATTTTTAACATATTCATAGTTAGACACTGCTACACTGCTATAAAAATAAATAATAATAATAAATACAATTCTGTGTTTTCTACAAAATTCTATACATATCTTTATTAAAATCACTACATTTTAAGCTTTTTTAGATCTCAGAATATGCTTAAAATACTTTTACTTTTTTAAGTACATTTTTAAATAGGTACTTTTTTCATGTGATACTTTTACTTGAGTGTTTTTCAGTTTCAGTATCTGCAGTTTTACTTAAGAAACAAAATTGAGAACTTCTTCCAATACTGCATGTGTCTAAAACAAATTTACCAGGAGGTCATATGAGGAAAAAGGAGCATTTATCCCAAGGTTGCTGGTTCTACAAATTAAATGTTTAAGTTGAGCACGCTTTAAAAATGAAAGTATTCAGATTTGAGTTGACATCTTAAATGGTCCTGCCCCACACATAGAAATAATGAAGTGAAAGGGGAAGCCACTATGTACACACAGATGGTGTTGCACCTACTTCCTGGTTTTGAGTCAGTCAGACGAGGCAGAAGACTGATACACACTGAGCCTACTACAATGGGCAACACTGACAAGATATAAGGCGAGAAAGTACTAGACAAGCTCAAAACAACAAGCTGCAAAAGATGTCTGAAAGATTGGGCAAGAGAATCTGCCACTCTGTCAAATGGACATCAGACATTGATGAGGTAAGAGGTAGGGGCAGTTTGTGCTCAGCTGTGGATAAACAACTCTTTAGTAATTACTCTGTTGACAGCAACCTCATTTGAAAATTATTTAAACAAATGAATAGACTTATAAGAAAAAATCCATCATTGATCAGCTATCCATTCATATCAAATTAGTGATGTTCATGTTTTTATTGTTTTGTTTTAGGAGAAAGAAAAGGACAGAAAAGGAGAGAAGGAACGAGAGCCTAAAGAAAAAGACAAGAAGTGGTCCCAGAGTCATGTGTTTGGCCCTGTGTGCCCGCCCGTGTCCAGCTGCTGTCAGCACTGTAACAAACCTCTGCAAACCAAGGAGTGCTTCCAGTGTAGCAGTAAGGAAATCTCTATTTTTCTTTGCTTTTCTCTAGTAATGGCCTTGCTTGGTGTTCCCCAAATACGTTTTATGCAACCATATTTCAAAAGACAAGTTTCATGTCTTAGTGCCTTTTTGGTTATTTTTACATACTTACGTTCTATTTCATCTTAAAGCAGTTTTAGTGAAATTAACTAGTTTACTAAAAGCTTCCATGGTTATTTACATAGAATATTTAAGGTTAAAATAATAATATAGGGAATAGAACTGGTGAATCCAAAATAAATACATTTTGATGTTATATTTTTAGATTTAATGTATGATGTTGTATTTTTAGATTTAATTAATTATCAATATCAAAATTCTGTATTGCTATGTTATTGTATTTAGGAGGTAAGTCTTTTGTAACTTTGACCATAGTTGGAAAATCTGCAGGCTGCAGTTTTGTCAGTACAGGAAGTACAGGGTGAGATCACACATACATGGGTACTGTGACTCTGCATTGACTGTAAAAGACCTTTGTCTTCAGTGGCAATAACTTGTGGTGGTCTCTCTTTTGCTGCAGATTGTGGTGTTCAGGTTCACAAGAGCTGCAAAGACAGTGTGGCTGTTTGTGTAAAGAATAAAAATAAGGTAATTATAGTTAAGTCATGTTAAAGTTTATTGCACTTTTAAATGTCCACAGTTGGATAAAGTTTAACATACAAGCCATAAAAATGTGATTTAGGAATGCACTTTTAGGCACTCAGAAAAATCATTGACAAATCTAAAGGTTACTGACTTATTTGTTCTTCTGCTTTCCAGCTTCAAGTCATGGCCCCAGATGCTGCTCCTCTAGCTGTAACAACTAGGACAAAATGTACTTTTTAATGTTTTTTCATTTGTTCTTATCACTGAACTATACATACATGCAAACATATACATATTGTGTTTGAGTTGACAATTACAGTAAACAACAAACTACCCCTTTCAAATAATCTACTACACTGAAACTTTTTTTGACCCTGTGTTCACAGCTACATCCTCAACTGGGTCCACCGTTTCCTCTGTATCATCATCGTCACGGGAACGCTGGTCTACAGCTACTACACCTGAAGACCAGTTTCCTCTAGTTCAGCCCAAACGCACGCCTAGCATTTTCTCTACACATGGCAACCTGTCCAAGAGCATCTCCACCAGCAACATCGCAGGGTGACTGAATTAAATCATTATAGATTCTTCAGAGATTTCTTTAGACATAAGATTTTTGTTTAGTCTGAGTTGTTGGTTAAAACTGCATTTTGATCTGCAGGTTAGATGACGTGACACTGAAAGGGTTAAAGTTCAGGTCCCAGTCCACAGACTCGCTGAATCAAAACAGTGCAGTCAACGCTTCCACAGAGTCCCTCACTGATGAAGGTAACGTCACAGACATGAGACAGTTGTTGGCCATGAGACATGAGACACATTTACATTTATCACATGTACAATTACTGGCCTCCCATAAAGATGTTCCTGAATCTGTTGTATTTTGTACAGGCACTGAAATGATGGACAATCAGCTGATGGGGGAGTTTGAGAGTGACATCAAGGAGCTGGAGGCAGATTCATGGAGCAGCACAGTGGACAAGAAATTCTTAAAGACACTAAAGAAAGATGAAATCAAGAGACAAGATGTCATCTATGGTAATATGCCTAAATATAATTAAAATAATGCTTTAAAAATATTGTAACATGAAATGTAACAAGATGATATCTGTGTGTAGAGTTGTACCAGACAGAGTTCCACCACGTGAGGACCCTCCGGATCATGTCTGAGGTCTACTATAAAGGCATCCAGAAAGAGCTGCAGCTGGACCTGCACACTCTGGAAAAGGTTAGCACTGTCATGGTATTTGTATTAAAGGGTAGATTGTTAATTGCTAACATCAAAATGTGATCAGAAATAAAATGAAACAGATAGTCACTGCTGTAATGATTTCCAGATCTTCCCTGTGTTGGATGATCTGGTGGAGACCCACACAGAGTTTCTGCACCAGCTCCTGGAGCAGAGAAGAAGCTCGTCAGGGGGGGCACCCCACAGCAGCCTGCTTGTCTGTGGCATTGGGGACACACTAGTCAAACAGGTCTGCACCAACACAGAATAAGAACAGCGTTGAACATTCGTATGCTTGTACTTTTAAATCCACTGATTTTGACAAACTGAGCCAAGTTGTCTGTGTGTGCAGTTTTCAGGCACCAGTGCTGAACGTATGAAGAAAGTTTATGGGACGTTCTGCAGTCGCCACAATGAAGCTGTGAACCACTATAAAGATCTGCTGGCCAAAGACAAGCGCTTCCAGAATTTCATCAAGGTCCATATCCTCCTCACTCATTTTGTTATTTTTGCTACCATATTACTGACAACTCTAGTTTCACTGTTTTGGTTTCTCCTTGTGGTTTTACAGAAAGTGATGAGTAGCACTATTGTACGGAGGCTCAGTATTCCTGAGTGTATCCTGCTGGTCACACAAAGGATTACAAAGTACCCAGTTCTCATTCAGCGGATACTGCAGCACACCAAAGGTGGGGATAGTTGTAATGGCATGTTTTTAACTCACCATAATTTATTATTAGTATTAGAATATTTTTTATTTTGGCACTCATTGATTTTTGTGGTTCAGAGGTTGATTCGGAGCACGCTTGTGTGTCAGAGGCTCTGCAGCTCGTAAAGGAAATCCTTACAGCAGTCGACAGCAAAGTGAATGAGCTGGAGAAGAAACGCAGGTTGAAAGAGGTCTACAGGTAAGTTACATGTGTGACTGAAAGTGAAGATTATAATGAGTATATTATAATACTGAGAACTCGCATTTCCTCATAGTCGCACTGACAGTAAGTCTATAATGAGACTGAAGAGTGGTCAGATGTTTGCCAAAGAGGACCTGCTCAGAGGACGAAGGCTGATCCATGATGGAGCTTTACAGCTGAAAAACTCTGCTGGACGCCTCAAAGGTTCAGGGCTTATTCCAGTTTAATCTTCCACTTAGAAATATGTACTTTTTTGTCTAAAATGTGCTTTGGTGTTTGCTGTTCCAGAGGTCCACTCTTTGCTCTTGTCAGACGTGTTGGTGTTTCTTCAAGAAAAGGACCAGAAATATGTGTTTGCCTCATTGGTAAGCTGGGCTTTAACTCTCCTGGGACACCATGTACTTGTCAAGACCAGAAAAAAAGACTTGTTTTCTTTTCCTAGGACCAGCGCTCAACAGTCATCTCACTTCAGAATCTAATTGTCCGAGAAGTGGCAAATGAAGAGCGAGGTAAGGAAGTACTTCTCTTTATTATCTTATCTCTCATGAACAATCGCTTTTATTCTAACTGACTTATGTGTGTGGTATGTAGGTCTGTTCCTGATCACGGCTGGGACTGACAAACCAGAGATGGTGGAGGTGTTGGCGAGTAGCAAAGAGGAAAGAAACACTTGGAGGGCCATTATTCAAGATGCAATGAACTGCATGTAAGAGCTCTCATTCCCAAAACTTGTCTTTATGTTTATATATATATGTTTATATATATATATATATATATATATATATATATATATATATATATATATATATATATATACTTTGATTATATTGATATATTATTGATATATGGGGGGGGGGGTTTGGCATGTAGGCTGAATTTCTTATCAAAACTGACCTCTAATCTACACACAAATCAAGTGTTTTGGGAAGTAAATCCAAAGTCACTTGAAAATACTAACTGAGGTTATGTTTTTAAAGGGAGAAGGATGAGGATGAGGGCATTCCTAGTGAGACTGAAGAGGACAGAAGACAACAGGAGAGCCGGATAAAGGAGATTCGAGGTAATCTACGACTAAATATTTTGTTTGTTTGTTTGTTTTTGTTTGTATTGATACTTTGCATTGACATCACGCTGAGAGTGCATAGACCGTATGTATGAGTGGACATAGCTAACGCTCTAGCCGCCGTGTGTCAAATAGGAAGTGCGCCAGGAGGCTCTTCTGGCTCCTTCTGACTCTGGCTCCAATTGACTTACATTGGGATCTTGTCGCCCCTCTCTCTGTAACTGCTGCTGTGAGCCTCATCATTTTGATTTGAAAATGGTCGTATTAACCCACTCTTTTTTTTTTTTTTTTTTTTTTTTTTGGTCAATTAAAAAAAATCCTATTCACAACATAGAGCCTGGCTCTATTTGCTCCTGTAACCTTTAGCATCACGAGCCTCACAGAGTGTCACACTCGCTTAGTCCACTTCTTTTATACAGTCTATGCGGGGGTGTTGTACATGTAGTTACCATGGAGACACAGTGCACACATTAGTAAACACACTGAACAAGTTTTAAGATGGTCTGATCTGAAGACTCAAGAAAAAATATAAAATGGGTTTAAACAACATATTTTCAGTGATCATTACTGGTTTTCACGGTCCTGTTTTGGTGTTTGATTATCAACAAAAAGTTGAGAGTGAACTGAAAAACTTTCAGCTAATGCTATCTAGCTTGTGACATTAATTTTGTCTATGGGAGACCTGTTTAACAGCATAAATCATTTTACCAGTTGTAGTTCCATCTAAATCAGTTCTTTCTGGTCAGATTGTGTTAAAATAAAGATCAGATTAAGTCAAATTTGAGTCACGGAGTTTCAGATTGGGTTGTATCTTCTATTAGTATCACACCACCAGGAGATGTTGTTGACATCAGCTGCAAAGTAACAAACGTATAGATGCATATGGAAAACATTACTTAAGTGAGCAACAACTGACTAATTTCCCATTGTTTGATTTCAGAGTCACTCCAAAGTAAAGACGAGCAGATTGTCTCATTATTGGCGGAGAAAGTGCGCATTTTCAGAGAGCTGAGTGACTGCAGTGCTGCCCTGTATGATGCTATTCCAGCAGTCCGGGAACGCATGCTGTTTAGGGCCACACCTGATGATGTCACTAAGGGAGAACCAATCATACACGAGGCTTTGAAAGAAGGTGAGTGAGCCCGTTGACCGAAGCAGTGGTACAGTCCAAAAACGTGTGTGTGACTGGTGTGCGTTTCCTCTGCAGTGGAGTCTCTTCACTCTTTAGTCAACACTGGATTAGGAGGAGCTGCTTGCAATGTCTCCATTAGCCCAACAGGGGGCAGTGTGGGACCAGTCTGTCTGCCCAGGAGAGCGGAGACGTTTGGAGGGTTTGACAGCCACCAGATGAACATCAGCAAGAGTAGGTCCCCCACCAAGCTCAAGGTTACACTGTGTGCTCATTACGGACAGGCACTGCTTTTTATTTTAACTCTTATCAGCTACTGCCTAAAATGGTGTTTTTTCTTTCAGATGTGACGTAACTCAAATGTTAATCAAATTTAAGATCAATTAGTACCATAGCAAAATCGTTCCCCTAAATTGCAGCTACTGAACACACAATTGTAGATGTGACATAGTATGAAACAATAATGAAATTCTGAAAAACTGATGACATAACATACATATTAATTATCACATATTTATAGACACACATTTGCACATTTGCTGCAGCAGCCTTGAAACAAAATAGTTAAAAATGAAAAGAACTTGTGTATATTCAAATGTGGTACTACTAAAGGAGTATATTAAGGAGTGTATTATAGAAATGTTGAACAATAGCATTTGTTCTTATCTGTGCCCTGTGCCATCAGATGGAGAGAAGGAAGAAGCGGATGAATCAGTGGACCTTCGAAGGACTGAGTCAGACGGTGTGCTCAAAAAGGTCAGTGTGTGTGTGTGTGTTTATACTGTATTCACCTCAGCAATGCATTATTTATGAATGCATTTTGTTCCCAGACCTCTCCTGAATTGTTCTCTTTTCTTAGGGAGCCACAGCCAGTCTACAGTTGTTACTCAAGCGAAACAATGAAGTAAGTATGTGCTTTATATGAAATGTAAATGTGGATTACAATTCTACTGAAGTCTGTTACGTAATGACATTAGCTGCTTTGCTTTATAATTATGTATCTTCTTTGAGATTTCCAGACTTGCATTTTATTTTAGTAGAAAAATAAATAAATTTTAAATATGAAAAAATGTAAACTAATGTACTCCCCTCTGCCCCCAGCAGGTGCAGAGCAGTGTGACTCGCCTTCACGACCTACTGCTTTCACTGCAGGTAAAAATTGCAGCTAACACACCCCGAAACCATTGAGGTATAATAAAATTAGAGCAGTCATCACCATGGTAACCTGTAGTAACAGACATTCGCTTCCTGCAGCCATTCTGCCACTCTAACTAACTACTGAAGAGCTTTTTATTGCAAATTTCTATAATTCACTGACTGATTTTTGTGTTTATGCTTTGTCTAATGTCAGTATAAATACAATAATTATCCATGGATGTGACCACACCATGAATTGACTTGCAAACATACTAATTAAGGTGAATATAAATTTTCATAATTGGGTGAAAACAGGTCCTTCTCTCTCCTTCTAAAGGCGGTGGTGGTGCAGCAGGACTCATTCATAGAAGACCAGCGTCAGGCCCTAAACGAGCGCCTCACAACCAACTCTTCCAGACACTCCTCTTCTTCTTCCCTGTCCTCTGCATCTTCATCTCGACCGTCCTCTCTCATCGAACAAGAGAAACACAGAAGTCTGGAGAGGCAACGGCAGGAAGCAGCCAGTTTACAGGTCACTACACTTAGCACTAAGCAAGGCCAACTGAAAATGTACACAAACTGCAGTCAGATAGCAATAATTAGCAAAGCATGAAAGGATTGTCACTATCATATAATTTGAGAGACTCAGTTTTCAGTAATTATTATGTAGAATTGTTGTTGTTTTTTTGTAGCTGTAAGAGCAGCACATAACATTATTAGACAACATTTGTACATACATATATGCATACATGTTTTTTTTTTGTGTGTGTGTGTTTTTTTATTCTGAAAGTTGCACTGCATAACATTTCTAGTGTAATATTATTGCTTTGTCTAGAATGTTCCACAGTATAGATTAAACCAATCCATCACAAGAGACAAACAGGTTACAGCACTACGCTACATTACAATTCAGATCTGTAAAGGGTCGCTTCTATTCACAGAAGGAATTATTGTAATTTAAAAAAAAACATAGAAACACCCATAATGAATAAAAGCTAGATGGAAATATTTAATATTCTGTGAAACATTTCAGGGAAAGCAATAGACATTTCCATAGAGACAAACAGGTAGTGGATCCCTTACCAGAAAAGTTACACAGTGCACTTTTAAAGCCTCTCTGAGAAACTTTTTAGACACAATTAGACTACTTTTTTTTCCCCTAATAGCAGTTTGAGCTTGTATTATAATAGCTCTTTACCGGTGTGCTCTAGAAACAGCAGGCTGCGCACCTTGAGGAGAAGCGAAGGCGAGAGAGGGAATGGGACGTGAAAGAGCGCATGCTGTGTGAGCGAGAGGAGCAGCTGAAGGAGGAAGAGGAGCGCATGGAGAAGAGACAACAGGAGCTGCAGGAGGAGAGGGAGCTGCTGCAGAGGAATAAGGAGCAGTACCAGAGGGACCTGGAGCGTCTGAAAGATGCCCAGGTCAGACTGGAGCGAGACAAAGAGGCCCTGCACCGGGACACAGAGAGACTGGAGGCACAGTGCAGGGAGCAGGTAAGTACAGTTTAATATAAAGGTGTTCACTTAAACTCCGTTTTACAGGTTTAGTTTAGCTTGGTTATCTTCAGCTCTTAAGAATCCTTGAGAATATTTTAATTGGGTTGCTTGTGTGACAATGTTTTATTCATTTCTAAATCAGTCCTAAAAGCTCATGTCCCTGTTGTTTGTAGGCGGATCAGCTGCAGAGGTACAGTCGCACCTCTTCCATTACATCTGAAGATTCTGTTCGTTTCCCAAGCACAACTTCTCTGGACCTGGACTGCAAAGAGGCAGAACAAACAAAAGAGGTAAACTACAGTATCAGGATTCTCCCAATCACAAAGAAAGCACTGAATAAAATATGTGTTATCCACATTTAGGCTGGTAAATGTGTAACACTGATGTACTAGATCTTAACTTACAATGAAATGTTTTTAAAGGTGGAGCTCTCAACCTCTGCTCCCACTAAAGAGCCCTTCCTTCGTATTGGATCCAAACGAATGGGCAAAAACTTTAACCCCTTTGCCTCATCATCCTCAAAAACACAGGGAGCAGAGAAGGAGCCCAGCAGACTGCTCCAGCTGACCAAACCCAAGAAAGACAAGAAGGACAAGAAGAAAAAGAAAGGAGAGGCTCCACCCACAGGTCTGCATGGGCACAGGATCCTGTGCTTTAAATAAGGGTTCTATATTTAGTTTTAATTAAACTAAAATTATATTAATGTTCATGCTTCAGAGTTTATGCTTGCATAGCTCTTGTTAGTTTTTAATCAATATTTGTATGAAGTCTGCAGCAAAACATTGTTTATGAAATGGATTGTAACAACTTTTTTTATTTTCTGTCTTCCTACAGGGACTGGTGCAGTGTCAAATTTCCAGAAAGATGGCGACAATTTCGCCCGCTAAAGGTGCTAACTGAACTGTGCTGTGGAGTTGTTTTACATTTGGAGACACATGTCTCTTCACTTGCTTTAATACAAGCCAATGGACATCTCCCAGGCCACTTAACATGTGGGAAATCATGTTGAATGCCTTTGGATCAGTGCCTAAGGGAGTTGTAATGGAAGTAGGATTGGTTTTATCTGCTGTGAGGAATGTTGGCAGAAAGACATTACAAAGTGCTTTATTGACTCCTAGAAGCTTTAACATGTGCATTTCTTTGAAGTGTGCTAACCCTATGCGTTTGGTGCTTGGAGACTTCGAGGAGAGAAAAGAAGCAGTCTAACCAGACATGTGTGAGGTGGGGTTTATAAAGTGCCACTAACACCTCTGTGCTGTCCACACTGTGTGCTGGGGTCACCCTCTGTGGTCAGCCAATGCTCCACAGCATTAACTGCACCAGACTCATAAAGACATGTATGTGCCTTACCTATCAAAAAGGACCTTTTAGACAATCACCAAAATCAGTCATTGAAAAGCACTTTAGAGATAATATACACCACTGTGTTTTCAGTTGGGGAAAGGTATGTTTTGAGAGTTGTACTATGTTGATAATGTAGAAAATGTTCATAAGTTACAAAGACAATCACATAATAAAAAGAGCAGGGCTTTTTAATCAAATCTGGATGCTATCTTTGATGAATTGTAGATATGAAACAAAAGGCAACCAATGTTCTGGAAACAGTTTTCTGCAGTATAGCTAGAAATAAGTGGGTTGCCTAACACTGGTTATCCTTGTCACTTGGATTATTCAAGATATCTGACCAAATAATGTGTCTGCCTGAAAATTACAAAATAACTCCTTTAGTTACAACGCATAAGGCAAGCTTTTTAGTTTTTATCCTGTGCTTTTGATCAGTACATTTTAGGGGTTTTGTTTTGCAAACTCACTCAGCAAAGACATGCACTTTACAGCACATAAAGAAGGAGGATGGGGATAGATGGGAATGCAACGACTCACTCAAAGCGCTGTGTATATAGTTCAGCCTAAAACACATGAAAAACTGAGACATGCGTTCTGTAGCAGCATGCGCTTTGATCACATGGGGCTCATCCATCGGCCGTTACTCAGAAGCAGCAGATTGATTTTCTCCTCCTTTCTCCAGAACACAGCTGAGAGGGAGCTGCAGCACTGGGCATGAGAATAATATTTCAGCCCAGGGTCATTTCCAGCCTTTCTGCTGAGAGGAGCACATTTGTTTCACCGAGAAACACACACTATTTGACTAGCCATTCTGGTTAAAGGCAGTGAAAGGCCTCACACGAGCACAAATATTACTGCCAGTAAAACAACTATTTGAATTGAATTAACTTGGAATTGCTATTTTCCAAACACAATCACTGTAGAGCTATACAAGTATAAAGCATGAATGAATCAATCTGAAATGGAAAAAGTTGATTGTCATTTGAGCACCACCAGGTTTCAACTGTAAATGATAAAACTGACTCTAACTAGTTTCATACATCCCTTTCAAGAAATAACTGCTTTCTTTAAAAAGTTTGTGAAAAAATTGGCTTTAAAGGTGCACTGCATAACATTTCAACTTGGGGGTCCACTACCATGGAGATGCTTTTCATGTAATGTTCCACAATATGGTATTAAACTTATATGAGATGAATTTATAAAATAATGGGTAATTTTATTTCACAAAATACAAGCATTGTTACTGTGAGTTTGGTCACGTCTTCACAGATCTCATTTGTTAATTGGCCTCGTAGCGGCTCCTGCTTCTTTCAGTGGAGACTAAAGTTTAGTGTCATACTTTGGAATATTAAAAAAGTTACACAATGCATTTTTAAGAAGCAATCAAGGGTTAATTTGGGGCCTGATTGGCTAATTATTAATTTGCAAAATATTACCTTACTGCACAATTCACACAATCAACGACACAGCAGGAGATTCCAGTTGTTTCAAAAAGTTCAAAAACAAATGTAATATAAAAACATCAATATTATTAATTATTTTGCAACATTTGTTTTCCCTGTAAAAAGTTCACTTTTATTCAATACAATTTTTAAAATCTGATTTTAAAAAAAGATGGCCTTTAAAGCCTTAGCTCTGTGTTGAGGAGTCAGCTTTTCAAAACATTAGGACGTGGGTTTTAGTACGAGGTTGTACAAGATTGATAGTACATTTCACGAGTGTGCCATAAAAGGCTTCCTCTCATTCCTGCAGCTCTCATGTTGTGCTAATTAACTGTTGGCGATGCATTTGAAAAAGCTTTCCACTAATCTTACAACTGATGCACTGTGTATTAAGGCTTTTTGAACACGTTTTTGTACTAAAACAGAAGGTACAAACCTGATTTTTCTTATGTATAAAATTTAAAAAGGGCAAAGCAACAAAAAGGTGTAAATAGATTTTCTGTACAAATATGAACTTCCAAAGTATTGACAGTTTTTTGTTGGATGATTGTTTTAATAAGTAAGAAAGTTTTATTTATCTGTTCCTAGATTCAAATGTACAGTATTGGGCTCCCCTCCATTAAACTATGCAGTTTGACACAAGTTTTGTAATGGTGTTTTCTGTTTGTCAAAACCATTGTATTTGTCATTCATTCCTGACACCTACAACATTTCAAACCCAAGTAGCAGTTTTTCTTGTGTATTTTTGCAGAGAAACAAGTCAGTCTCTTATATCTGCCTCAGCACTACACACATCATTATCACCTCTCACTCTGAAAACTCAAACTGATGAATCCACAACTCCAGAAGTACAATCTAAAATAGCAAAAATAAATCATGGCATTGAGGCCTGACCTATAGATGAGAGAGGGATGTAATACCAACAGTATATATGACTCTGAGGGCAGGGCTGTTTTGGACGAGGGCAGTGGTTACCCAGCCTTTCATGTCAGTCATATATCTTGAAATCATATTTAGACTCCCACTTCGGTAACCACATGACTATAGTGTACAGAGCAGGAAACGGGACACATAACAATAATGCCAGCAGTAGGAGGAGTACACTGTGCCGGGGTAGTACAGTCCAGTATTTACAGTAATGTTAACGTTGCCTATATGTGTGATTCACTAGTCAGCCTTGACCCAGTGGGCTGTCTTGGGATGTACAGTGATATGAGATGAGTCATATCCACTCACAGCTGCACTGTGAGACAGCAGTGCCCGGACCGTACTATTTACATTATTTTATTTTTATGTGTGATTTAACAATTTATCGTTTTGTTATTCTCAGTTTGAAAGAATTACAAAAACATAAGCCCAACAGTGTTTATTCTATAGCTAGTTTATTGTTGAATACTTTTATGTTTTCTTTTGCTCTCCTCTTTTCTCGTCTTTCCTGGCCGTGATTGATCCGAGCTGTGCTGATGATGCTACTTTCAGAGAGCGCTCCATTATCAGCTGAGTTATTGGACTGTTAAACCTTCTTCTGAATTGCAAAACACAACAAAAACACCACCCACACTATAAAATATATCAATAGTCGTAAATATATTTTAGGCATTTGTAGGCAAACTAAAATTATGACTGGGCTTTTCCATGTCCATTTATTCATCTGATGTTTTCTGTTGACTGGGCACTTCTCTTTTCTGTTCTGGCTAAATGCACGTTACATCACAAGTCCTGTCTGGCCCTTCACATCAATAAATCATGCTCTCCCATCGGGGCAGAGACGTAAGTCATCCACTGATGAATTATGGATGCTGCTGTGCAGTCATGAGCGTAATTCAATTCAAGGTACTTGTTTAAATACCACTTTTTCACATAATATTAAAATTTTATTGAAGCAGAAACAGTTTAAAAACACTGCATCTGTCATGTAAAAAAAAAAAAAAAATCATATGCACTAAGTTTATATTTAATGTATAATAATATAAATACTGAAAAATAACATTTGCCTCAAAACTACATTACTCTATACTCTTTATATTGGAGGTTTTCAGACTGTAGAATATGTTGGTTATGTTTTCCGTGAAATATCCAAATAGTAAATTCACAAATGTTGAACATTTGTGTGATATTTTTAAGTACTGACTAAACCCAAGGACGCACTGTATTACAACATACTTTTGCATTTTAACCATTTTTAGCTGCCCCTCATCTATATTAAATTTGGCCTATAGACCCAGCAATACATGATGAGGCATAAGGCATTCAAGTCTCTCAGATCATGTTCCAAGTAATTACATTTTAAGTATTCCAGTTTACTCTGTATGGTCAACATCCTGCTATAGATTCTGATTGCTTTGTGGCATGATGATGAGTTTCCCCCTTAAATCCTTCATCTTAAGAGAAGGCAGTTATTAACTGATATTGTAGACAGTAATGTTAATAATCAAACTTAGAAGAGAATTAGAAAAGTGAGTCAATGTTTATTCATGAGTATAAACCGTATGACACATTTCTACAAAGATCTTTCTTTAGTTTTGCAGATAACTTCAGAAAAAGTACAGTCCATTCAAAACATGTTCCTTCAGAAAACTTTACAAAGATCAACCCTTCATCTTGTGCAGCAGTCAAACCCAGACGGACCAAAACATAACGACATCTCTTCACAGAAAGGACTACAAATACACCAAATACTTACAGAATTACACAGGTGATCTTGTGTCCTGTACCGTCTCGTATTCTTCAGCACTGCTCGTTTGAAAAGTGCATATTTTCTTATTTTTAAGTGGCTCCAAATGCATTAATTTTATTTGCAGTGATGGATATTTCATAAATTCTGTGCTTGTCACAAAAGTCCCAGCAGCGAATTGTAGCGTATAGTTTGAGACATGCTTATTCTGTTAAAAAAGGGCGATGTGTGCAGGTTTGTGCATTTGTAGGTCGGTATCTGTGCACAAGACTAAGCGCATGCCTTCAGTTAGCTGTGTTAGTTCCTGTGTAGCTTTGGGACAAGTTAAACTAAGTGAATCAGAGGTTATACAGTTAAAGTGCCTATGACAGGTTAGACTACTCATTTGACTAAAACATGACTGAAATTGCCAAATTTAAGATTTTTGCAACAACATTCACACCCTTTCCCCAGTTGGATCATTATTTTAGATTAAAAATTTTACTTCTTGGTTGGAGAAAAAAATAATTAAAAAAAATTAAAAAAAATCATACTAGAGAATTCCTTAAAGGTTATTATGTAACTTTTTGGTGTAGGTCAGTCACCTGCGTTCAATGGAAATGTAACTACTCTGCCTGGAGTGTTCCACAGTATGACATTAAACCTTTATTTACTCAATTACAGGTTGTTTTACTACTCAAAAATATCTAGAAAAACATGCTGCCTCTGCAGAACTGACCGATAACTTGGTCTGGTTTGGTCTCCTTGAAGACAAAAAGGTTTAATGCTATACTGTGAAACATCTTAAGCAAAACAATCTCCATGGAGAGAAGCATTTGAAAAGACCAGAAAAGTTACACAATGCACCTTTAACAGTTATCTAGCAAGACGTCTGTAATGTACATAGAAATTATTATCTGACAAAAAATATGAATTCAAAAAAATATATTTAAGTATCAGAAAAAATCTTGTGTGTAGATTATGCCGAATGTTTGTATAGAATTCTCCCTAGCGTGGTGTCAGTATCCGTATCAGCATGTCTCTACTTCCTGTAGTAACATATTTTTCAAATTTTGTTCGCAAATTGCCTCTTGATTGGTGTAAAGCTTTAATTTATATTTACAATAGTTGTAATCCCACCAAATTAAGTCAGAATTAGAGACTCATTAAAATCTGTCATACACACTTTAACTTCACTTCTGGCCATTATTATTGAAAATCACAATTACACATAGTATTTATGTGTATCACCCAATCTAAAGACTGTAGTATGATTTTTTTGCATTGGTTTGTCAATTTCCAACAAAGATGAAACAGTAATGGTTGATAGTAATACAAAATTTTAAATAAACTTTAGGGTTATAGGGATATTTTTTGCAGTACAGTTTTGTTAGTTGGCAACATAACTCAGTGTTTTTCAGGCACGTTTTCCTAAAGAAATAAGATATATAAAGTTATGGACAAGAAAGTAACTTGTCAATGGCTTATCAAAACCATTAGAAGACATGAGGTGGGACAAGACGCATTCATTAATACTAAAATGAAAAATTCCACGTCATTTGAGTGTAAAACTATCATCAGCAGTCAATACAATATTACGTATGCGGGAGTAGAAATATATTGTAGCCATCAGTGTGAATTTACCTTTAAGGATTCAAAAAACACTAGGAGCACAGCACCAACCTCATATTCAAAATCTTTTACCATTGAAATGTGTCTTACCTAGAAAATAATGGACTTGTAAACAGCGGACCTTGTGAAATCAACTGAAATGTATTTGTGCCTTTAAAAAGTGGAGAATAATTGCCATCTCCAAAAAGAGCACATGCTTTTGTTACATTTTCCTCTTTGTGCAATATGGAAATTTCTGATTCAAAGCAGCCTCGGAATGAATACAATTTTCTCCTCAAGCTGAAAAGGGGTATTAATGTGTTTTGTACCTTGCTTGCCGTTCGAGCTAAAATTGTACAGTGTATTTTATGAAATTAGAGCTTATGCCTTCAGAGTTGGAATGATACAGAAGTGGGGAATTAAAACAGCTTTAAGAAAGTCGAAAAATAAAATATCCACCTAAAAGAGTCCATCAAATCTTCAGTCAGTTCTATCAAAACGTTTGTGAAAAGAATCACATTATTTTGGAAGCGTTGTGTGTCTTTGGCCTCACGACCCACCGTCTGAAGTTTAACAGGTGTGCAGCAGTTGATGAATACAGTGGTCCAAAACATAAACACCTTACAGTTCTCTCATTGGGTTTGTCCTTCCATAATGGCCATAGGAATCTATAAAGAGACAACACAGAATCAATATAAAATAAAAATAACTGCAATAAATAAATTAAACTATTAGTCAGAGAAAAGTTTCATCCACCCCCTTTTCAGACCATGAATATTTGTATCTGTGTCTGTATCTGTGTTATGTTGTGCTCCTCAAGGATACATTGGAAAAGTGTATTAAAAACAAAGACACCCAGACATTATATTTAAAATACTTTTTTATATGTATGGCGCAGATTATCCAGATTATCCTATATTACACAAAATGGATTCTTTTGAGTTTTAAATCATGTTATAATGTTGTTACCTCCTCAAAAACATACCTGGAGTTGTGTTTTGTTTTGTTTCATTCACACATGTTTAAGTAATTCCTTAGTATTTGTCTGTCTACATCTCCAAAGCTCCAAAGCTCAAAATGCTACGTTAGCTTTAGTTTAGAAGAGTTTGGCAATTCCAGGGTGGAAATTATCCAAATGATTCCAGTGTTTTCTGTCTGAGAAAAGACCACAGCCTAAATACACAGGGTTTGTGTGTTAAACATGTGTGAATGAAACAAAACACAACTCCTGGTATGTTTTTGATGAGGAAACAACATTATAACACAGATGAAAAGATGGCGTAATGTGGGCCCTTTAATGTTACAGTGCCTCAGATCTCATCCCTTTGGTCCCCACAGAATAAAAAAACAATATTGTTCATTTAGTTTTTGAACAATAAATCAATATAGTATTTATTTTGACAGCCAGGCTCATTGTGGCTCTTTTTAATGTGCACCAAATTTCAGGCTAAACACTGAAGACCCACAAAATCTGCTGTTATACAATTTATAACTCACAGTTTTGGCATATGAAACTTAAATTCTTACACTTCGTTTCTGCTTTGAATTCAAATACACGCCTCTCAAATATGATAATATTTGGCGTGATGTTACAGGCCTCTTAATATGCAGAGTTTATCCACAGTTGGCAGCACACACACAAATTAAACTAGTTTGTGCTAAAATGACAAATGAATAACAAGGAATAGCAGACACAGCTACTGGAACGCTATGTACACAGTTTAACCAAAAAATATTGACTTAGTGTTTAGTTCCACTTTAACTAGACACTGTAAAAATGCATATTGGGTCATGTTTTTCCTCTTCTTAATTCCTGGTTGGATAAGCCTCTGCCTCCTTCAGATCCCCTATGCGTGACACTCAGTTTTCATGGGATTCTCTCTGCGTCTGTAAAATAATCCTGACAAGTTATTAGCTGGGTTTTTGATATACCCCCTAATCCCTTCTCCACACACACACGCACGCACACACACACACGAACTCATGTTTATATAAGACTCTCTTTCAAAAATGGTATGGAACACTTCAGCCCTAGAGCAGTACCAACATGAATAAATGATCAAATGAAAAGTGGAATAAAAATGTTACAATTTATTTCCTTTTCATGTCCTCCAGCCACAGTGCATGTCTTGGGTCTTAGCTTACTCACAAGCGTTTAATCTGCAGCCACACATTAACAACAACAAAAAGAGCTATATCTTAATATGTTTCATGCCAAGGCCAAGATGCTTCATGAGAAAAAGTCTTGGGTGTATCTATAGATTTTGTTTACACTGATCCAGCTAAATATTGTGGCGCTCCCTGTGGTAAAGTACTGCACTTTTTAAGGCTGTACTGTTACAATTTCATTCAAGGACATATTTTTCTGTTGCTATGTCAAGAATCAAGTAATAAAAAAGAATCTGTAGGGAACCTGGAATTAGTGAGGCACATCTTAAGAATGGTATTTAGCGCTGCATCTTATCTTGATACTTTTTTGTATTTTTTATATAAATGGGCACGGGGCGCTTCCGACGCCATCGACTCCAATTGACTTTACATTAAAAGATTATCACCCCCCTCTCTCTGTAACTACTACAATGAGCCTCGTCATTTTGGTCTTACCTTGTTCACATTAACCTACTTTACATCCTGGTGCTTTTATTTCACCATTTTGTATGGAATATGGAATTTGGCTCTGAATTTGCCATACAACTGCTAGGTGAGCTTCATTTGTCAATGATCTTACCTAGGGCTGGGTATCATTAAAAAGTTGCCGATACGATACATACCTCGATACAGAGGCCTCAATATGATACATACCTCGATACAGTGAGCTTACGATTTGATACGATAAAGGCTAAATCATGGCTGTGATACTCAAAGTCTTTGTTAAATCACTTCTTGTGCAAAGTTCATATAAAGCATATCCATTTTAATCATCAAAAGAGTGTTGCATAAACGAGTTAAATATACCGAAAAATATTCTTGGCGATATATCAATACACTGATATACTGATATCAATACTGTATCATCACATAAAACGATACAATATTGACATTTTGAAATTTCGATATATTTGCACACCCCTAATCTTAACTCCATTTTTAATATTCTAGATAAACTGAATAGAGTCTAATCTAAAATCGCTAGCTCATTTTTTTTTTATTACATATTTCCCTTCTCCAGTTGCTCTTGAACTTACAACAACAACACTGAAATTTCTCCATTGCGTGACAAACAAAGGCCGTCTTATCTTACTTTAGTTGGATTCTAATCATCAAAAGTGAATTATGGTTTTGAATGAAAAGCCACACTAAATAGGCTTGAGCTGACTCTTCATATGGAAATACAGTTTGCTATTGTTGTAAAGTAATACATGTTCCACATATTTCAGGCACACACTAAAAGGTCTGATCAGCAAGCACACTTTGTACAATCATCTGAATAAAACATGCTCCTCTGACAATATCTGCCATTCAGCTATTATTAAACTATCAGAGCTAGAAATTACAAACAACATTAATGCCTAATTGGGTCCATAATTCATGTCCTGATATGAAATAAATAAAAACAAAGTGAGATAAGCGTTGCCGATTACAAGCAAGCAGTCAATGTGCAATTAGACTGGCTTGCTGCAGGCTCTGGGGATCTACTGTTGCTGAGTGCAGCTCTACACTCATATCAGCACCCACCATTAGCAAAGGCTCAGATCACGCACTTTTAGAGGAAATTAATCCAGGCTTATGATGTTTAAAGACAACAAAAGGACCTCATGCACACTGGCTAGAAGTGCGTCCAATATTATTACAAAGGCACAAGGATGCACGCAGATATATGAGATGTGATAACGGTGGCAGAAGGGAATCCAGTTTCACAACATCAATTTTTGAAAGAGTGGGGGCGGCTTGGAGGAGAGGATGGATATGAGCAAGGATATTTATATTCAGGCTCCCACTGCAGCAGCCTGTGGACTTTCTCTAGGATCAACAGAGGCACACACAGACATTTTGAGATGCGAGAAAAAAAATGAAGTGAGGTTTTTTGGAGCCAATGTCGATGCAAGGTTGTGGAGGCGAGTAGCAATGTTTTACAGATGTATCAGGTATAGGATGCCTCCAGATTGTGGATAAAACATTGCATTATGTCAGTATCATGGAACCCTTTTGAATACAGCTTGAAATACTAGTATGTATATGGGCCATATACAAACCATAAAGACATAGCCATAGCTATATATATATATATATATATATATATATATATATATATATATATATATATATATATATATATATATATATTTTTTTTATATATATATATATTTATATATATTTATATATATATTATATATTTAAGTACATTGTAAGTAGATGTACATTAACACCTCAGTGACAAAGAAACAAAACAAAAAAAATAGACAAAATGTACTATGAACTATGAATTTGCCAAAATTCAGTGCAGTCTTTGTTGTGCAAGTATTTTACAGCTGCTTCTCTCCTGCTGCAAGCTTGTGGTTCTGGCTGCAGCTAGGTTTTGGCCTGAGGAAAACTAAATGAGGTGTGAGTGCGTCCTGGTAGTCAACCAAAAACAGCTAGTAACTAAAAGGAAAAAGGTATTCAAAAGATTCAAAGTTTTTGAGACATTTCAGCTACCATCCAGAAGTTATCCAGAAGAAATGTTAATGACATCAGCTGCAAAGTATTGATAGGAAAAGCCAAAACGTATGATAAATTCTCTTACCTCAACACTAGACAAGTAGCCTTCACCTTTAGGCAGGTAGGTGTTTCCATGTGCTGACGAAGGCAGTTGGGATGAGTGAATAAGGCACAGTTGTAATGGAGTTCCAACTATCTGAAGTGGGATCGTAACAGTCCAAAGTTTTACACCTCTGCGTCCCAAAATAGCCTCCGACCACATAGAGTTTGTTTCCAGAGGCTACGGCGTGACAGCTCATACGCTTGGACGTCATGTCGCCCACTCGAGTCCATTGGTTTGTGTCACAGTCAAAACGATAGGCCGAGGCAGCGGTGAATTCAGTGTCTCCTCCCATAATGAAAATCTGACTCCCCAAAACAGCAGCTGCAGTGTACCGCCAGGGCTGAGGGCACTCCGCCGCTATGGTCCATCGGTTTCCTACAGGGTCGTAGCACTGGACCTGCATAAACAAAGACTAATGAATAATGGTGAGAATTGATACTTTGCCGTGACATCATACTTCTATGTATTTCTGTTGGGGGAGTATTTCTATCAGTGGTGGATGAAGTACTCAGTTATATTACTTAAATAAAAGTACAAATACAGGAGCAAAAAGTCACTCAAGTAAAAGTAACACATGAAAAAAAATCTACTTAAGTAAAAGTATTAAAGTAGATGTTTAAATATGTACTTAAAGAGTAAAAAGTGAAAATATTTTGCAGATTTTTAAAAATCTATTTTTAAGTAAAGTACGGATACCTAAAATTTGTACTCAAGAATTGTACTTTTACTTTTATATTTTGTTACTTCCCACCACTGATTTCTATGCATTTCTCTTGGTGTAATGTTCAGCAGTTACCACAGTGACACAATGCACACATTAGCAATAAGGGTCAAATAAGTTTTTAGATACAAAATGCAATTAAACAGCACATTTTCAGGAGCCTGTGAGCAAAACAAGCTTTCATAGGGGTTTGATTTTCAACAAAAAGATGAGACTGAACAACTGAAAAACATCTGGTCAATGCCACGTAGATTGCGACTAATTTTATGTGTGAGAGACTTCTTCAGTACAGATCAGATCACCTGTTGTAATTCCAAGTAGGTCAGCTCTTTTTGGTCAGATTGTTTTAAAACAGAGCTGAGATTAAAATCTAATTTTTGCTACAGTTACATCAGCTGCAAAGTATCAATAATGACGTAAGCGTGCATTGTCATAAGAAATATACACACCTTGGATGCCTTGTCTCTGTGAATTGTGGTTCCCCCGAACACAAACAGCTTAAGTTTGGCACTGACTACAGCTGCATTGCTCACTCCATCTCTTAGTGGAGCCATCATTGTCCACTTATTACTGAGAGGGTCATATCTTTCAACCTGGACAATTAACACAATGACAAGAGCATAGATAACCAAGCACTGATAAGGAAATAATTTAAAATACAGTGACAGATTGAAAATGAATCACAACCTGACATATACTGGTAATTATTAAAGACAAACAGTGTGATGGTCCTTTAAAATGTCCTATATTATGTCAAATTTACTCTAGTGAGCTTTTGGCCATGTTATAATGCTGTTACCTCATCAAAAACATACCTGGAGTTGTGTCATTTATTCAGACATGTTTGAGTAATCCTTTATTAGTACGTCTACATCTCCAAAGCCTCAAAATGCTGTGTTTCACCTTATTATGTCAGAGAGTTTTCAGTGTGAGAGAAGAATTTAGTTTGAAATATGCAGGGTTTGTGTATTAAACATGAGTGAACACAACACCAGGTATGTTTGTGATGAAGAAATAACATTATAAAATAGATCAGAAAATAGCGTGATATGGGCCCTTTAAAGCCTTTTCATGATTTTGTTCCCTACCTGTTTTAATGAGACAGATGGAGAAGCAGGAAATACACCTGCTATTGCTGTGTGTCCTCCTACAACATACAGACTGTTTTCCAGCTCAGCAGAACCATGTCCAAATCTGCACAAAAAACACAACTGATTAACAAATCTAAACAAACTGACTAGATTTCTATTTTCACAGCTTTCTGCACCTACCTGGCTATTAACATGGGTGCCCCTTTTGACCACTCCTCATGGACAGTGTCATAAATCCACACGTCTTTGGACACGCCGTTCTCAGAGCCTCTCCCACCTGTCACATAAACTTTACAGCCGATGGCACAGGCGCTGAACTCCTTCCTGGGACTAGGCAGGTCTGCTTTCGGTATGATCTCCTTTGCTTTGTGATCAACCTTAAATAATAAATAGCTATTAGGGACTACAAATGGAAAACAGCAAGTGGTTTAATTCTGGCATATTTATATTGTAAGTTCATTAATATGCATTGTCCGTTTAAATAAATAAATTTACACAAAGGTGATAGTTTTCACATATTATACTGGGTGTGTGTGTGTGTCTATGCAATTGGATTGTCACAATGGTCTTCTATACTGGAACTGGAGTAAGACCACATGAAAATATTAAAGTAATCACTATTATTTATTGATAATAGTGTAGTGACTATAATGCAGCCTTTTTTAATGAGTACTGAAATTGACAGAACCTTACCCTAAGTATCAAGACTTGATACTAACATGTTAATGTTGTGAAAACACTAGTATGTTGTCTGTATGTAGTCTTTAAAATTACAATACGACTTATTTCACTCGCTTACAAATGTACTTAAGTTCAATTAACACTTTTGGCCATAATAATCAATGTTGATACCTGATATATTTTGTCACACATAAAGGTCTGTCCCCCCAGTATCAGCAGCGTGTGTCCAGCCTTGCGTGGCCGTGCACATGGGCTCGTCACTACTCCATCATTCTGGAGTATTCTCTTCTTACACTGCATGGCCTCCTCTACGATGGATCTGCAAAAGGGAGACAATTACTTAAACCAAGACCTGATGATGTCTTAATCCTCTTATTAAAGCTTGGCCTTATTCTTCATCAACTGACACTCATCTCACACATTTTAATCCCCTTTTTAAGTGCTACTTTAATTTCAGAGCAGTTGGGTGCTACCCAGGACTTCTTCTCCATTTTGGCAGTCTTTGCACAGAGATATGTCGACAAATAAAATATGTCTGACGCTAAATAGATGAGTCATGCAGCTTTTGGCAATGATGCCGCGCCTGCATTTAGACAAATATTAAAACTGCTAAACTGCATCAACCACAGCCAGACATTACTTGGTTATTCCAAGGCAGTTTGTGTTTGTGTAATGAAAGTCAATATTAGTTATGAATATTTTATGGTTCAACAGTAAATAGATACACCACATGTACCAAATGTGGGGGAGGACTTGACAAGCCAATTTGTAATTGATTTTAAACATGTGCTAATCAGAGCAAGGCTAAATATGAAAAATATGAAAAATGTAATCTTGTAATGTAATGTAAATCTACTAAGAAGGATGTCTTCCCCATTTAAGACCAATCAAAGGGTAATACAATACCAGTAACAAAATTGTTGCTATGCCATTAATTTTCATGTGCGTTTTTATGTAGAATAGTGGTCTGATAAAGTTGAAATACTGTTTACAAAGAGATAGCCCTGCCCCGGAAAACATAGTGAAAAAACACTGAGCACTCACTGCCAGCTCAGTCCTTGTTATCTTAGCCAGCAGAAGAATAATACTCCCTACAACAGAAGCATAGCCAGACTGCACTGTACAAGACTGGAATGTACAACACTATCACAGTGTCTTGACGGTTCATGTCTCCAGGTGCTGAGTCCCGTACTGATGGTAAATAAACGTTTTCCTGACTTAGAATTTCAGCGCCATGCCTCTTTTCTTCAATTCTCAGTCTACTACAGTTTATTCTAACACAAGTATGTGTCTGACCTGCTCCTCTTGTCGGCCATCACCAGCTCCTCACAGGCCACAGCCTCCAGCAGACACTCAGAGGGCAGTAGGGCCAGTCTGATGCCCCGGAGCAGCTCGGGGAGGTAGTGCCGTCGGCCGTCCAGGTCAAAGCGCACCCACCGCATCACAGAGTTAAACACCACCTGCAGCAAGGCATGTGTCAAGATTAGCATAGTTAGAATTTGTTAAATGATGTATATTATACAATATACAATACATTTACCCATATATGGCAACCATTCCTCAAACTACTAAAGGCAAATTGACTACATGTCAATGCAAACATTTCATAAAACTATTAGAGGTGCGTCAGGAGGGCCCTCTAGCTTAAAGGAGGGCCTCCTGCTTATGTATGCTATGTAGTTATAATCTATGACACCTATGAATCATTCTGATATAATCTGCACATTTTCAATATTCATCTAAAATTACTTAAGAAACAAGTCCACTGACTCAAAAAGTGTGGTGCCTCATGGAAGCAGATGTTGCCGTAAACGCCATCACAACAAAGTGGTGTAAAATTGTCGGCACCTCCTATGAATAGCTGTGGATCACACTAGTGAGTAGCAGATTTTTTATTTTTTTATTAGTACTAAAATGACTACATAATGCTGCTGAATCCTACGTTTATCACCGATTAAGAAAATAAAACTGGAGAACAAAGTTAGTACAGATTAGTGGGCATATGCCAGTGACGATGAAAATAAGGCGGTGAGTTGATCATCATTTTGTTGTCTTGAAATTAAGCAATTAAAGATTAAAATAATCACTCCAAATACAACTTTGGCTGAGTAAATTATGAGGGGGAAACAACTGTAACATTTGTAGAAGAGGTCTGCTTTAAAATATTAACATTTGAATTACTGCACACCAGATAGTGTGTGGTGGCAAACAAATAAGGAAGAGCTCTGTTCTGGTAAAGGGAGCATTGGTTCCAAAGAAAAGACTTGGTTTGCACTGTAATTACATACTATTGGCCCAACTCATACCACTTACATGGTTATACTCTGTGACAGAGAGATGTGCCCACAATGTTTTAGTCTATTGAGCACTTTTCTTCAGTAATTGACCCATGGTGGTTACATTTCTCATAATTGTATTGTGGGATAACCATGGTGACGGTTTCATGTTGCAGCTCGTGTGTGTGGTTTTATGACTGGTGGTTTACTGAAAAATTACCCCATCTACATCTTACATAAATAAGAAAATGAGAAACCTATTATGTATTTGTAAAGGGACAATACATATTAATGAACATTTAACTTTTAAGATGGCTCATTTCCATCTTCATCTTTTATTTTTACTTGTACATATACATTATGCCTTATTTGACACTAGGCAAGGCAAGGCAAGTTTATTTGTATAGCACAATTCGTACACAAAGTAATTCAAAGTGCTTTACAGAATAAGAAATACATTAAAATCATAATAAAAACAAATCAAAACATAAATAATCATGAAGATTAAAATTAAAAAAGAGAGACATAAATTGGAGAGAAGAGTGCGGAATGAAAACCTTTCAGTTATATGCACAGTTAAACAGAAATGTTTTGAGCCTGGATTTAAACAGCGTCACAGAAGAGTCTGTCTCACATGTTCAGGAAGACTGTTCCAGGTTTTAGCTGCATGAACCTGAAACGCTGACTCCCCTTGTTTAGTCCTGACTCTGGGCACCAGCAGGAGGCCGGTCCCTGAGGTCCTCAGAGTGCGAGATGGTTCATATGACACTAACATGTCACAGATGTACTTTGATGCTCGGCCATGGAGAGACTTGTACACAAGCAGAGCTGCTTTAAAGTCTATTCTCTGAGGCACAGGAAGCCAGTGCAGAGACCTGAGCACAGGACTTATGTGCTCGTACTTCCTAGTTCGAGTAAGGACCCGAGCTGCAGCGTTCTGGATGTTCTGCAGCTGTCTCACAGCTCGTTTGGAGAGACCAGTGAGCAGACCATTACAGTAGTCTAATCTACTGGAGACAAACGCATGGATAAGTTTCTCCAAGTCTGCTTTAGACAGTAAACCTTTGATTTTTGCTATGTTTTTTAGATGGTAAAAGGCTGCAGATGTTATTGATTTTATGTGACTGTTAAAGTTCAAGTCTGAGTCCATTATTACCCCTAGATTTCTTGCCTGATTTGAAGGTTTTAGAGCGAGAGACTGGAGGTGACTGCTGACACTGTCCCTTTGTTTCTGTGGACCAAACACTATGACTTCAGTCTTGTCAGAGTTTGGCTGGAGAAAGTTGTTTTGCATCCACACACTGACCTGTTGGATGCAGTGGCCAAGTGAGTCCACTGGTCCATAGTCTCCTGCTGCCAGAGAGACGTAGATCTGAGTGTCATCTGCATAATTGTGGTACGACACGTTATTGCTGCTTATTAACTGGCCTAATGGCAGCATGTAGAGATTGAACAACAGGGGGCCCAGGATTGACCCCTGAGGCACCCCACAGGTCAGGGCCATGTCATCTGAGACACAGTTTCCAATTTCAACAAAATACTTCCTGTCTTCTAGATAGGACTTGAACCAGTTTAGTACAGTACCAGAGATGCCCACCCAGTCCTCTAGTCTCTGTAAGAGGATCCCATGATCGACAGTGTCAAAAGCAGCACTCAGATCTAACAGGATCAAGACTGAGACTTTGCCTGCATCAGTGTTCAGGCGGATGTCATTTGTCACCTTGATAAGAGCAGTCTCAGTGCTGTGGTGGGCTCTACTTATTCAGAATTTATTATTACCCTTTATATTTAATATTTTTTTGTTTATTTATTCTAATGTGATATGTGAGCTACTGTGTCCAAATAATTTCCCTTGAATAAAGTTTTTCTAAGCCTAAGTGTCTTAGCTACAGTATACCAGTTCATGTTAATAAAATGTTTTCATCAACTGTCCAATAAAATAAATACATGTGTATAATTATCAGAGGCCTCACCTGTTCATCCTCGATCTCTAGCTCATCACTGAGGATCAGCTCTAAGAGTTTGTCTTTGGACAAACTGTAGAAGTCCTCAGACTCTCTGACCTGAAGGAACAAATTACACTTGTATTAGTGTCAAATACAGCAGGAACAAAGACAACATCAATAGCCTCTTAGCTCCTGGCTCCAACTCTGAAAAACTAAAAAAAAGTGCTTCTTCAGCTGTTTTACGTGCATTATGATGTCATGCTAAAACGTCTATTGATCCAATCAGTTTAAAGTGAAAGTAAGGCCAAGTCAGTGCAATCAGCAGATGAGATTAGGAATTCTTAAAACCACACAGTCCATTTAATTGTTATCCATTGCCAAGTTAGTTTCAGAGAGAGACTTGGGGCAAAAACTTTGACTTTTGCTAGTGGAAACAATTATTCTATGTAAGTCTTGCCAAGCTAATACACATACATTATTGGGTTAGAGATAATATAAGGCACTGGGCCAAACTGGCTCTGGGACGAGTTTCTCGTTTGCATTCAATGTTGAAGTTTTAAACTATGTCTGATTCACAATAGACCAATTTCAGTCAGAAGCCAGTCATAAGACAATATATTCATTATGTTAGCCTAGAAGCCCGGATAAATAAAGCCACCTCTAATCCTTGTAATTAATATTTTAACTATAAATCCACATCTCTCTTGTTCTCTTTCCAAGGCACAGGAAAGCCAAGTTAACTACTACCTTTTACCTTTGGCTCAGTAGAGACTGGCAATTCCAGATCTGAAATTATCCAAACTATAATTCTAGTGAAGGTGTATAGAGTTTAAAAAAACAGTGGAGAACTTCCTGTATTACTACATGACATCACAAGTCGGAACAGAGTGTTTTTCATTTGAGAAAACTCCTAAATATGCAGGGGTTTGTGTGTTAAACATGTGCGAATGAAACAAAAGAAAGAAAAAATGAAACAAACTTGTTTGTTTGTGATGAGACACATTAAAACATAGATCCTAAAATAGTGTAATATGGGCCTTTTAAGTTGATGGGACAAATTGGCCATACTTACCGTCTCATAGTGAACCAAGCACATTCTCCATGATAGCTCATATAGCCGTTTACACTGATGGGCATCTGATAGCAGCATCATCCCCAGGCAATTGGACGAATGCAGGTTCTTTTCTAAAAACTCTGCTGCAGCATCACGAATGTCATGAAACTGTAGCATGTCTCCTGCCTCCAACAACGACTCAGCATTTTCCTCATTAATTATGACTCGAGAAGAATAGGCAAAGTCCAGTAAGAGCTCCAAAACCTAAGGGGGAAAAAAGAGAAAATATGCCATTTTACAAATCCAATACGGTATGCACAAGAAGTAATAATTACAAAACTGAGGACATGTTCCCACTCTGGTTTGGTCCTGATTTGAGCACATTTCATGTTATTTTTTTCCTGCTCTAGTACTTCTATAGTCCTGGTCTAGTGCAGGTTTAGTTCCGGGTTTAGTCGGATACAAAATTGTATTATCATATGAAAAACAACACTGCATAGTAAACCACAATACCAAAGGTGCAAGACACCATAAATAACTCCAATGTGAACATTAAATGTTACATGTTTAATATGTTAAGCATGTTAAATATGACTGTCTGTGAATTAATGTCAAAATATACCTGTGACCAAAATAAATAATAATGATAATAATAATTAGCACAATAAAGACGTAAAGACATTTCAGTCCCATTTTAGTCCCATTTTAATACCATTGTACATGTGTGCATAATTGGGACTAAAATTATTTGTTTAAGAGGGTTGTTAGAGTGCCACCCTGAAATATTGTAAAATATTGCAATGCTTTGAAGGAGTCCAAGTCAAAATAAAGTGGTAATAGTGCTTAAAGGAACATGCACTGACGCACATGAAGCACTGATATATTGAGTCAATTAATAAAGACACGTGCTTTTACATTTGCCTCAACATATATACAGCCTTCCATCTTCAATGATTCACCTAGTCTTTTTCTAGCATTTTTCTATTTATAGCACTACATGCCACAGTAGCCTGGGTCTCTATGTGGCAGAACATGTGACAGTCAGCAGTGTGAAAGGCAGGACAAATCATTTAGCACCCGGTTGAATGCAAACATATTCTGAAAGATTTCCTCACTTGCGCCTTACCTCTGGGTGAATACTGTCTCTGAAATTCACATCACTGTCCAGACTCTCCCGAAGCCCTCCACTGAACATGGCTTCAAAATAGCGGCTGCAAGCTGCTAACACTGCTCTGTGGGACACAAAAATCAACTGTTACAAGCAAATGTACAACCATCACTCAGACAGGAAACAAAGTGAGAAGCAAGCAGGAAATATTAACAGACATTTTTATAAGTGAATTATTTAGAGGTTTAAAAGCATGCACTTGATTTCAGGCATCTTTTATAGTAAGTGCAGTAAGAATTCATATAGTCAATACAATTTAGAAACAAGACTCATTTGTGCTTTAAACTTGATGCCAAAGAGGACTTTATAGGAACACTTAAACATCCATGGTTTAACTGAGCAGTAGATTTAGGATCCTTTCTATTTTAGCGTTTGATGAGGATACCTATGACATGGGAAGGAGCGGTCCCCTGCCCACAGCGTCACGTCTGTGAACATGCACTGTTTCCTCATGGAGTTTAGGTGGGTCAGGACGCTGTCGGGATGTGAAGCCTTGTGGAACAGTGAGATGTTCATGGACCCCGTACTGGTGCGGGACTTTCGGTTCTCATGAACACTCACTGACATGGCGTCTTTGTTTGGCACCTCCAGGGAGTCGCTTGGATCAATCTCTCCAACTTCAAAAACAAAAGCCATGATTAGTCATGTATAACAAATTGAAAACATTATCTTTACATTGCATACAGCAGGTTTACTTTATCTTCCCCAATCCAAATTCTCTCAAGTCGTTTGCATTGTACTAAATCCATGCTAAATGTCACCACATATGAGACTGCAGCTTGACTCGTGGGGGAAAATGCAAGCTACAATAACTAAGACCAACCTTTTATAATATATGTTTTTCATTCAGCCACAATAGACAAGTCACAACATCTGCAGAACAGGGGTCCATCAAAGTGCAGTAAACATTCATGGATTGAGACAACGTTGCTCTGATGAGGGAAGCGCTGCCTCAGCAGCACAAGCAAGGCCTTTGTTTGTGTGCACGTAAATCAGTCAAACTTGCTGACATGTGCTTTTGGGCTGAAGTGACTGAGTGTGTGCGCTCGCAGATCACAAAGAGCTCTGCTTGTGCTGAGAGTAAGGAACAAAAGAGCACGGCGAGGCATGCAGGCGCAGTCGCACTCACAGCATGCAGAGTATCGACATGGCAAAAACATGGCAACTCAAGATGGCACAGAGATTTATTTAGATACACATATTCTTGATGCTCTTGTTTGCTTGTCAACTCGTCTGCACTGTTGCCTAAAGCTCTTTTATATAGTAACAATACAGCATATTTAAAGATTGTACAAGTTACTTTAGCAATATCATGTATTGTCTTGTCACTTTAGCAATATCAGTCATACATTATTGGTTTTGAAAAACAGTTTATTTAGCACCAAGATTTGCACCTCCTAATAAATAATCAAATAATTAACACAGGATGAAAGACAGAGCATAACTGTGCAGGCACACAGGACTTGGGCTGTGGGAGGGATACTCGGGCACAGAGAGGAGGGAGGATTTGGGGGGGCTTCATGCCGGTGTCATGTGACTTACAGCGACAGAGACTGCTGACCCAGGCACAGGCACTGACGGTCAGGAGGTGAGGGGGGGTCTGCATCCCCCACAGCTACAGCCAACAACAACACACCTGACTGGACACACAGCAGCACAAGCAGCACTTCAGAGGCCCGTTCACAGAGGACCACTGCACTCTGGACCTCACAAGAGAACCACTCATTCGGCTATTCACTTCAGCCAGTACAGTTTAGATTTAGAAGCCCCATGTCTACAATTACTGCAGCTCCTCAATGTAATTAGTGGTTCATTATTTTACACTAGTTATTTTCAAGGCCAAGGCATAAATTATCCAAACACTAACTTATGCACATAGTATATTCCTCCCCTCAGCAATGCAGAAAGCAGAATAGATTAAGCATTAATGCCAGTGAGGTTACAGGCCTGTCACAATAACAGATCTTGAAGTACAGTATAATGCTGAAAAAAATATAGACGATGAATGATAATATTGAATGCCACTGTGCCACTGACAATAAAAAACATTCCTATGCACAGTATTGTTATAAACTTGAGCTGCAATAAATAAGAAGTTATTTATTCAATCCTGTACAGCTCAAATCCTATAGTAGTACAGAAAAGTAACAAATATTCTCCACTAGTACAAAGAAAAAGGTACTCATGATAAATATTGACTCTCAAAAATAATTATCTATGTCTTATGTCTTGTCTTGGCCTATGCGATTATGACACTATACTCATAAGGATTTCTAACACTAACAGAACACAGGAGTAATAAAGAAGTAGTCAATTTTATATCAAAATTAAATGAGTTCCATGGAACAAAATATGGCACAAATATCCTGCCTAACTTAATTACAGGATCATATTTTGGTTTTATGTATCAAGGTTTAAGGTAAAGGTTGAGATGCTGTGATGCTCAGTCATTGTGCTTTGAATCATTTTTCATGCCCTTTACATCCAGGGCAACAGCGGCTCAGAAGTAAGAGCATTCACCCTCGATCCCAAAGGTCAGTGGTTTGATCCCCACTCAAACCATCATTCAGCTGCTGTGTCCTTGGACACTTGGCCTCTGTGGAGTGTGTGTTTAAGTATCTGTAGGGTGTCCAAAGGGCTGATAGCGCAGAATGGCAAACTACCATCAGTCTATCCTAGAGTAGCTGTGGATAGTACAGATAGTGCACAAGTATCTAGTATTTTCTGGTGTGGAGTGAATAATGCAATGCAAAGAGTTGTTCAGTCTCCAAAAACCCTACGTTACAATGTAGGTTTAAATTACACAGCTTAAGTTTTCCATCTTCATAGTTGAGTGTACAGTGGAGTATAGTGGGTGAGTAAGTATTGGGGTCAAAGTGTCCATCCTGAGCTCACACGGTTCACCAGTGGAATATCAACAGAGCAGCTCAATGGCAGCAGGAGTAAGAGGCTTGGGCCGTGGGTCAGAGCTGTTTACCAGGGCTAGCATAGCTGCACCACTGGCCCTGTTGCCCAGGACACTGCACTGTGTGTCAGTGTGTGAGGAGCAAAGACACACTGCATTAGGAGGCCCACCTCTGGGAACACCTCCACTGCAGTAGACCATCTGTGCAGTATGCGCATTTCTCCCAAATGTCACTTTCAAACACCTTACCTTTGAATTTATGTTCAATTTAAACATAAATGCTAATATGAGATAAAGCATCATGTCTTGCTTATAGTGCATATCTGATAGGAATACTTAAAAATGGCATAAAAACAGCATTTTGTTACCAAATTGCTGGCAAAGTTATTTGTAAAATCAGAGTAAGAATCAAATTTAAAAAAAATCACCCAAACTATTGTCTCTAAACAAAGCAACTAAACACTGTGAGTGAATTGAAAACAAAGTGCTTATTAATCAGTGCCATGCAGTCTTAACAGTAAAATGACCATGTTTATCTGGAGGTGATCAAGATATAGTACCCCCACCAATTAGGACACAACACATGTCAAAGTCCATTGTGGCAAAGAAAAACAGGTTGTGCAAATATTCAAAGGGGTCAGTGTGTCAGCAATATGTCCAGTTAATGTCACCATCACATAAACCAAAAGCAATTGAAAGTTTCAATGTGAGTCACTGTAGTGTCTTAAATGACTCATATTACACAATTTTTTGATCTATGTTATAATGTTGTTTCCCCATCAAAAACACACTTGGAGCCATGTTTTGTTTAGGTTCTTCTCTCAAACAGAAAAAACTTTGTTCCACTTTGTGATGTCATGTGGTAATACAGGAAGCGCTCCCCTGTGTTTTTTAACCACCATACACCTTCACTAGAAACATTTGGATTATTTCAGACCTGGAATAGTCACTCTACTGAACTAAAGGTAAAAGATAGCTGTAAACTTGAAAACTACCGCTTCTTGTCATCACAAGGTGGAACAGAGCATTTTGAGTGATAAACAGACTAATAATAAAGGGTTACTCAAACGTGTGAATGAAACAATGAGAAAACAACATTAAAACATGCCTTAGAGCTCACAAGGACCCATTTTGTTTAATATAGGACCTTTAACTAAACTAACACATGTGCGTGGGTGCTATATTACTTACATGTATGTATGTATGTATGTATGTATGAATGAATGTATGTATGAAAGTAGACCTAATGCAGCAGCCTGCTCTAGCTCCAAGCATTTAAAATACATTTTAAATATTTATCTTTTTAATTGTCAGCACATGAATGACAAATAAACGAGTATCTGGGTTGCGGTGAGCAGAGCTGTGCTTACCTCTGGCCTCAGTAATCTTCTTGTGGAGCTCATCGACAGCTGATCAATAACACAATAAGCCCTGTAACTGCACCGCCTCACTCTGCCTCACCACGCACAGACAGGCGTGTTGTTTACAGCTTAACCCAGAGCTCAGATAATGTGATCTTTCAGAGTAGGTAACACGTGGGGTATAGTAACTGCATGTATAAGTTAAAAACATACTTTAGATAGACACAAAGGAACTAGTGTGCCTTATGGAAGTGGACGGGAGACGCTTGTAGTTGTTAGCCGCCTAGCTAATCAGAGAGAGGCTCCAGCAGCGGGATAAGAAAGCTTTAGTCAAGTGAAAAATCGAAGCGAACTGTAGCACTGTTTTTGAGTAGCTCTTGTGAAATATTTTAGTACAGTATCGGTTCACAATAAAAGATAAAAAATAAAGACACGCTTGGATGAAGGAGCTAGCCGTGCTATGCACCAACTTCAGAATGCCTACACATAACTTCCAAGTTACGGGTGTCGCGTAACCAAATCCATGTACTCTTGGCTACATATTATTAAGCACAAAACAACTGTACAATGGGGTTTGATTTTACTTCTTGATGAAGATCCATAAATCCGTAAGTTTTGTTATTCTTTCACACAGTTCAAACAACACTGTCAACACTCCAGCTTTGAATAAGGATTATCTCTGTTCAAATGTGTAAAGGGAAAATGTACTCACAAGTGTAAGGGCTCCCAGGGCTCCTTAATCCTAAATAACGAAATGCATGGATATTCTTGGTAAAAACATCTTACAGTGACAATAACCTAACGCTACGTATGTCAGGGCGTCCCTTTCTTGTCTGACTGGTTTGAGAAGAAAAGCCACAAAGGCACTGGCTCCAGCTACCAATAGGCGTTGGTTTTATCCAGACTGACTTTTAATGTAACCAATGGTGCTGTTGTATCTGAGCTGCTGGGACCTCTCAGCCAATAAAAGCTCAGGGGCAGATACCAACACAGAACACCAGATTTACCCATCATTTTAACACACTCATGTCATCACAATAGAAAATTCCTACGTTTAACCATCCACTTTTTCGTACAATACTGAGATAATTACCTAAATATGATCCAATTTCTTTCTTCAACTAGCTGAACTAATGCAGAAACCTAGTGCTGATGTAGTTTATTCTGTATCTATCCTCAGAGAAAAACAAGAAACGGAATTAAAATGTAATCTTGTTTTGAGTCTTAACCAAATTTAACATCAAAACTGAATTGCAGACTGTCGTTGTGTCATTAGGCAAAATATTTCACTCACCTTATCTTAATCTTGTGCCTTTGTATAATACACACTTTTGACTGAATGTGTGTGAAGATGTAGGCCTATGCACTTCCAGTCCACAAAATAAAGAGGTGCAAAAGTGGCGTTAATAAATTAGACAATTTGTAAACATTTATCATGTGCTGCCTAGATCTGACCACAAGAGGGCGATGTCATATTTCTCATGCGTATGTCTGCGCTATGATCCTGCAGACAAAAAACATTAGCTTTGAAAATCATGTGCATAAACTTTTACATTTATAATCAAGCTAACGAAAAAATGATAAATATAAGCCACTTTTGAGACCACATAAAGCTACAGTTGGCTGTTTTCGAGGTTACTTCTTCAAAGGTGAGTCTGTGTAGTGTGTACTTATGAATGATTATCTTAAAGGTGTAAAGCTCTTAAAGGTGCACTGCGCAACTTTTCTAATGGAGGGTTACCTACTTGTCTCCATTGAGATGTTATTGCTTCGCCAGCAATGTCCCATGGGATAACATTAAACATATCCATCTAGCGTGTATTCATTCATTGCTCAAAAGCACAATAATTCCTTCTGTGAATAGGAGCGCCCTTCCACAGATCTGAATTGTAATGTAGCGTAGTGCTGTAACCTGCTTGTGTTCCTCCCTTGTGAAAATAACTTTTAATATTTACTGCGGAACATTATATACAAAGCAATATTATTTCCATCGAGATGTGTGTGTGGCAGAAACCTCCACTAGAAATGTTACACAGTGCACTTTATCATGTGAAAATCATTACAGGGCTTGTTTGCATTTGGTACCTTCAGTGTGCAATAAATTAAAGTAAATTCTACTATTCTAAAAGTAGGGATGTAACAATAATCGAAATATTGTGATATTGTGGTATCATCAAAAGTCACACAATAATATTGTGGGTTGTCACAATGTTTCGAATCACAAGTTCCTTTGCTTAAATGCATGGGTTTATAGTAGCAATGGCTTATAAACATAGCGACCTATATATCCCATGATTCATTTCAGTGCAGAATGAGATATGTTTTTTACTTGAATTCTTGGGATTATAATAGAAATAATTCACACCAAAGTCTTGTCAAGGTATTTTAAAAGCAAAAAATTGTCCTATTTACATTTATATTAGCCTCTCCAAAATATCGCAAAAAAAAAAAAATCATACTGTGAGATGCATATCATGATAATAACGTACCAAGGGATTTGGATATCGTTACATCTCTATTCTAACAGGTCTAGATTTCCTCAATAATTTGTCCAGAAATTTTCATACGGTTATAATCTGCCAATAAGTAAAAGCAGTACTGATATTCATAGATTTTTATCCGTTCTAAAAATGAAATTATAATGATGTTGTGTGAGATTTGTTTTAGAATTATAATTCAAAATGGATTCCTGGGAATTATTAATATACCATTCTGCTTGCTTATACGATACAGAAAAACACTTCTCCATTCTGGACTTGTCAGCACTATTTTTGCACATCTATAGACACAATCTATGAAGTCCTTGAAATGACCCTTATTTTCAGATATTTAAATATGCATGCATGTGTTTTATGAACCTACAGGTTGAGGTAGTCTGGGGCAGCCCTCCCACACAGCTGATAAGTATTCAGACCTTGTCCAAACTGCATCAGAATCTAACCCTCTCTGCTCCCTGGCTCCTCTGCCTCCCTCCATCTTTCTCTGCATCAGTGCTCCGGGAGCGCCAGCCTTGAAAATACAGGGAAATCCCACTGTTTTTTACATCCTAACAGGCAAGTCTTTCTTTTTCTCTCTCTTTCTTATCTTGTGATTGGTAATTTGATGCATTAACCCAACGCGGATATTTGTTTTAAACCATACTTTGGTTTAATGCAAATGTTGAAATAAGATGGTGCTGTATATGAATAATGAATTACCTTCACTAGTAGACTATGCATGGACAGAAATCAGTATACAGCGTGTACATATGTTACAGTTTTAGAACTATAGTTGACTAAATAAATTCTTGGTTGACTAAAGACATCTGCTGACTGATTTGTTGACTAAAAAAGCAGCATGGCAAAAGCTCTCAAAACTACTACTTATATTTATGTATCTGTCCCATCTGCACTCACAAGACTATATCTGCAAAAGTTCATGCAAAACAACAATTTATGCAGAAATAGGAGGCAGTGTATTGATTTAAAGACAGATTAAATAGTAGTAGCAATAGCAGTAGCAGTAGTAGTAGCAGTAGTAGTAGAAGTGGTAGTTGGAGATTAGAGTTCAATTTGCCTTTTAACATATAAATACCTAAAAATACAAAATCTTCAGGTAACTCACTCACATATTAACTTCTCCTTCCTGCTGTTGTCTCAAATAAATCCTTATAAACTATTTAAAATGATTAGTCAGCTAAAACACCATCGACAAATTGAAAAAGAATACAGCCCTAACTTTGCGTCATATTAAAACAAATGTGTACTAAAGTACTACTACACATATTTTAAACCCCATTGCCCTTGACAGAACATGTTTTTTGTCGCTAAATTATGTGGAGATTATGTTGAGCAGGTGAGGCATGGTGAAGGGGGCCACTCTTCTCTGCTAATGTGCCTTGGGGAAAGCCCCTGAACCTATTTAAGCCAGAGTGTCTGTGCCACAGGTGTATTGATTCAGTGATTGTGGTTAAATAGTCAGGACGTGGGTGAAGGTGTGGTTAGGTCTGTGTCAATCCATCTCAATATTCTAAAGTTCTGAATCTTGACTCATACTTATTTCTGTTAAATCTGCTCTGTGCAACTTTTCTGGTGAAGGCTTTGCTACCTGCTTGTCTTCATGGAGATGTTTTTGCTTTGCCTGGATTTTCCATCTAGCATTTATTTATTACAGGTGTTTCTATTGCTCAAAAATTCAGCAATTCCTTCTGTGAATAGGAGCGACTCCCCACAGATCTGAATTGTAATGTAATGTAGTAATGTAGCGTAGTGCTGCAACCTGCTTGATAGGTTTAATTTATACTATGGAACATTCTAAGCAAAGTAATAACATTTCCATTGAGACATAAGGTGGCAGACCCTTCACTACAAATGTTACACAGTGCACCTTTAAAGTGCAATTAAAAATTCTTAGCCATGTATTTTGTCCCCATTCAATTAAACATTTGGTTTGGTAGAGTTCAAAATGCCAGTATCTCCGTATAATTATGCGGGAGAGTTCTCCTTTCTTGCTGTTAAGTTCAGACGATGAATCATTGTCAGGCTATTTCGAACTACGTGTGGAGAGAAAAGAGCTAGTCTGCAGGCTGGATGAAGCACAGACACATTATTTAGGTTTATAGACTGTGCCGTTCGCCAAACTAATCTTCACAATGGACGCTGAATGTGCAGTGCTTTCCTGTTGTTGTTCCTCTGAGAAACAGCATTGACAGAATCATTCATAAATTATTGTTTTAACTCGCTGACAGGACCACAGGCTGCACAGAGATGGAAGGGCTGGGTCTGATCTATAATGCAGGAGGAGCTAGAGTGGAGAAGCGGGGCAGAGCCCTGTGAGATGTCCTGTGTGCTGGCTCTTGTTGCTATAGATGCATAGACAGCTTAAATGTCGGATGTTGCGTGTGCTGTGGATTTGGGTGACAGGAGGGTTTACTGATCTTGACAATACAATGGTCAAACGTACAATATCCTATAAGAGACAACCATTCGATTTTCAATTTTTTATATGCTTAAATTTTCTATAAATGAAAGACAAGCAAGTCAAAGTTTGAAAAGTCTAAGATGTCTTGCACTATGCCAAGGGGACACATGCTATAGGCCTTGTGTCAGCCTCAGTGCTGTCAGAGAAATTCACCCACTTTTCATACTGCAGTGTTCTGTTTAATTTATTTAAAGGTGCATTCTTGAAAAACATTTGTTCTTACTGTGAGGGTGGTCACCTCTAGCCTAGTTCATCAGCCTGACCTTGCAGCATTAGGATTCGTTCGCTCAAGGGTATATATATATATATTTTTTTTTATTTAACCAATCGCTGCTGTTTGGTCGTGACATATGTAATACGCTGCTAACGGGACTAACTGGTGTATAAAGCTTTTCCCAAATCCCGTAGGAAGAAAGGTAATAACGTCTTTCCCCTTGATACAATTCACCAAAGATTCTCTTTGTTCCGACTTTAAATCCTCGATCTCGGGAATGATTGCCAGTACAAAATGTATGGCTCTTTGCTGATTGGCTGGTGCCTGGACTTGCACTTCCGGGGTTCTTGCAAACCATCTAGTGTATTCGATTCCTAACCTAGTTGCTGGAAAGAAATGAAAATGAGTGGAGGCACTAAGTGGCACCAGCCTGGCTAGGTCACCTCTCCATAGTTCTGGCATGTAATTTAGCTTGGTGGTGTCACTTGCTTGTTAAGAGACCAGTATACTACCATATTGTGGCACATTCTAGGCAAGGCAATAACATCTCCATGGAGACAAGCAACGAGTGGACTCTCCACCAGGAAAGTTTCACAGTGCATCTTTAAGCTGAAGCTTATTCTTAATATTTCAGCTGTAAGTGAATTGAAATATTCTATTAAAGTTATTAAAGCAA